AAGGATTTAGTTACTCATATGACAATATCACCGTACCGAGGAAAATTAATTCCCTAAAAAGATAGTGAGAGAGAAAAGAAGAGTGTTGGTTGGTGATTGGAGAAAAATAAAATAAAGGGTGAAGGTTTAATGTAACAAAGTAGAGATAGGATGCAGAAAAAACCACGTGACCCTATCACATGCTCACTGATGTGATCGCACAATCTTCTCTCTCCAAAACACTACTCTTTCTCTCTCTAAAATTCTTTGATTTTTCTTCTATTGAGATTTTTAAAAATGTTAAATTCAACTTTTATTGAAGTCATAAAATATTGGAGCAAATAGATATTTATTAAAAATTATGGAAAATTAAAAAATAATTATATAAAACTATCGTGGTGCTCCGTTGAGGTAAATTGAGAAGGAATGAATTCAAATCCTATTATGTCCATCTACCTTAGGAACTAATTCATACGTGATATTGTTAATTGTTATTAATATATATGTTATAAATTTGGTATAATTATTAGTTTATAATATTATATAAATTTATAATACATTATATTTTACATATTTTAATTTTAACAAAAATAAAATGAATTTGTAACCTGAAATATTATACTTATCAAACTTTTCATCTTTTTTTAATGTTATATTGCATTTTAAAATTTAAAATTCAGAACCTAGAATGACTGAAAACATAGAGAAGTGTTTAAAATCTCTACGGTTTGATCACATAATCCAGAAAACAATTATGTCAAATAGATATTCACTAAATCCACTCAAAACAAGAACAAAATCCAAACTCCCTACCAGATATACCCTTATTTTTTTTTTAAAAAAATTAAACTTTAGGTCATATTTGAAAGTATATATTTATTTTTATGCTATATACGTAAATACCTGTATAAATATAATATGTGAGAGTGAGAATTCGAACTCATGATTTTTTTATTGGAAATATATGTCTTTAACCTTTTTTTTAATACAACATATGATGGAATAGATTCGAATACATGATCAGAGATAAGTGTCTTAATTAGATAAATTATATTCAGATTCACAAAATAATGAAAATATTGATCAACTATTTTATTTTATTTTATAAATATATAAAAATATTAACAAAATATCACGGTGTCAATAAAAATTTAATATTATTATGCGTTTAAAACTCTCTCACTACACCTCTCTCTCTCTTTAAAACTCTGCAAAACCCATGCTGGCAGCTTAGCAAAGGCAGCCTGTCGGTGTTGAAAGCTGACCCCATTACATCTCCCTCTTCTCACCACCAAAATATTAAATAGTGCCAATACACTTTCTAATTATGGCTATATCCAATTTAATTAATTCAGATTATTTATTTCTCCCCTCGAAGTCTCTATATAATTTGCGAAGGTGTGTAGGTATGTTTCGATTGACATTCACACTTTTACATATATTCGGTATGTATGTATATGCACAAAGTCATTGACCATGCAATCTGACAAAAATAAGGCCCACACCACTCAACAAAAAAGTATATTTGCTATTAAAAAATAGTTAGGCTAGAAATTGAGGATCATTGGTACACTCTTACGCTATTATTTATTAGTGTTATGTCATGGTCGGAAGGACTGATCCCACGTCCGACGTTATCCTTCCTCTGCTCATTCTCACTCACTGTCGTCATATTCACTATCATGTGGCACTTTGTAACTCTAGATGACGACAAATAAGGTTGATAAGCCAATGAGTTAAATATTAATTGAGTAGGGAGGGGTTGATTTAATTTTGAAATAGGATCTAAATTAGTTTAAATTTTATTTCCATTAATTTAGGGTAGAAATTTTAGGGATTTAATTTTAAATTTGAAACAAAATCTATGGCTCCTGAAATGTGGACGAGGTAAAATTGTGAAATGAGACAGTTGCAGTCTCTTTGAATGTAGGGATAGTCAAATGAGTCTAATTTGTATATCCGATTTTTATATTCATGTGTTCAGACCAACTTACATGCACCTTCACAAATTTCACAAGACAATCACAAACTTTACGATATACATTTGTTTGAAAATATTAGAAAATTCCAAGTAGATAGTCAATATAAGATTAGAACCGCCGAAACTAGGTATTTAAAGCCATTTTTAGACCATAGAAGTACAATTTGTAGATTTTGTATGAATTATTCATAAATAAAAGTTTGATATTCTAATTTTGCAATTTTTAATTCTATTGTCTTTTTGCAATTTAATATTTCTACATTATAATTTATATTTTAAAGAAACATGGAAGAAAAAACCCACATTGGGTTGTGCCCTTATGATGAGATCATAACTTTTAGTCATTACCAAATAAATTTGATTATTTATGATTTAGATCTTTAGAAAGTCAACTTTTCATTAACTTTTGCAAACACAAGTGATTCCTTTAGATGTTTTTTTTTTAATAAAATAATAGAGATGTATACTATTTAATTTTAGGAATTGTTATTCCCATTACCCTTTGAAAAATATTCACATAATTGAAGGACAAAATATAGAATGAAGTTGGAAATTCTTCAGATTAATTCAAATTATTGTCTTGCGAACCTGCAATTTTACTTCAAATTCATATGCCTGTTTTACTTCTTTTTCCTTTTCTTTCTTTTTCTAAAAAAAATCTACAATATTTAAATAAACTATTAAGAAATGGGCCTGAGTTGAGTGSTGTGAAACGAAAGTCATCTAATATATAAATTAAATTTATTTAAACCGTCCACTYAAATCTTTTGAATTGAAGGGTAGTTTATTCATCATTRAATCATCTCTTTTCTTTTTTTCAACCCTTCTCATAGAGGCTTTAATTAAATTTTCTTTTCAAATGTTATGTTTTTGTATAACATTTATTTTAATTTTTTATATATATATCAATTAAATAAATATAAGACATCTCAGGTCAACTTCAAGGTGTATAATTTTATTAAATTTTAAGATTTATGGTTTTTTTTTAAGAAAAAGGTATCATGCAAGAGTAATATTTGCATATGGTAGTTAAAAATTGAGAATATAATTTGTAATTAACTCTGATAATTTACTTTTATTGAATAATTAATAAATAGCAAATTATCTTATATCTTATATAAATATTACATCTTGTATGTTACTTTCTTTATATAATTGAAAACATGTTACACATGAAATATTTTTCAACATTTATTATTATAATTTTTATTATTTTTTTATTACAACAATTTGGTGGTATARGAGATCGATGATTTCGAGAGAAGGAGTACATGTCAATACCACTAAATTATGCTCATGTTTGCTCAATATTTATTATTAGTGTTTAAAGACGAATAATAAATTACGATCGTTAGTCACACTAAAAACCATGTTACGATAAAAACTTTAGTGCTAGATTTCATTGAAAGAGTTGAGATGTCGATAATCTTATTTTATACTAAATTACAAATTTAATTTGGAACTTTGATTAATGTTTTTTTTAATAAAGAACTTTAATGGTATAGTATAGGTTTTTATTTCAAGTTTAGAAATTAGCATTTTAATCTCCGACTATTAGAAAATAATTTTAAAAGGTCTATGAACTCCTTTSACCATTAGTTCACTAACATAAATATGACACGACAACTTAAATTAAGTTGATGATTCTATTGTGCTGACTTGGCCAGAAAATATTAATTTAATCTATTTTTTTCTTGGTGACTAGACGATGAGGTGGTATATCCCCTCTTTTTCCTTCTTTCTCTTTCTTCCSTCCATCYCCMGATAWWTTTATTTACGAGATGAGGTGGCATACAGTCTCACTCATTCTGCCACTYGAACGGGTTGAACCCACTGGAGCCATGAATTCCGAGATCCATYCCCCCGCCGCCCAAACCCACAACCACAATGAGTTTTAGAGGCAAGAAAAAGAGAGGATATGCCAGCTTATCGTCTAGTCACCAAAAAAATATATATTAAATTAATATTTTTTTTTCTAAGTCAATATAATTGAATCACCAACGTCAAATTTYTATYRGTCYATTTTCTAAASGTTAGGGATTAAAGTGTAAGTTTTTGAAACTTCAAATAGAAACATATCCTCAATTTTAGGGACTAAAAATGTATTTTACTCTAAGAAATTTGTAGGTTAAAAAACACATTTGGTGTTGTAATTTATTAAAGTTATGATTTGATCCTTGAACTTTCAAAATTAACGATTTAGTTCTTGTACTTTAAAATTTGTTACGATTTAATCCTTAAAAAATTAGGTTAAGATTTAACGAAATGCTAATGTGGCTGCCATTTAGGATGTGTACAAATTAAAATCCATATGGTGAGTTGGTTCAACRGTTCGATTTGGTTCACATTTAAAACGGTTTATGACTTTAACAATAGAATAACGAAAATTTGAATCACRCTCTTTCCTCACGACTCCTACCTCTCTCACCCACGACTCCATCTTTCCAGTCTCTTCTAGAAGGCTTCACTCCTCTTTTCAGGTCTCATCCCATCTTAATTTGAATTTTCCATTCTAGTATAGCAGCGCTCCTTGAATTCGTCGTTGCCTCTTTCTATATGGACAAGTGTTATTTTCTTTTATACTTTTGTATTTYTTGATTGACGTTTGGTTRTGTTTGTTTTTGTTTCTCACTTTGTTGCCTAAATTTTTGTATTGGTTGTCTTAAAACCATTTTTCTTTATATATGCTACCACGAAATATAAATACTCTTTCCATTAATTACTTGCCACGTTGGCATTATATTAAAAYTTATGTGGAGTCCACCAACATATTGCAAGATTATTAATAAATTCAAAATCATARTGTGAAGAAAGAAAAACAKTATTYTCATAKTACTTTGATTTTTTTCATTTATCCGAAGGATCTCCAATACTACAAGAGCATGGATGCTCCTCCCACGTCAGCATCATAAAAATTACAAGGAAATGGCATAGTGGTAAATAAAGGAAATAGGGAGGGGAGAAGTATAAATGTGTGTAAAAGGAGATCTGAGTGAGTTGGGGGCTGCATCGCTGTGGCGTTCCTAGACGTAGCAGTACTTGTTAACATAAATGGCGAAGAAGATCCGAACCGTTGGATTCTCTGTCTCGCATCCACACCGTCCGATTCATTCTCTCTCTCTCTCTCCTCCCTGTAATTCGTTTACCTATGACTATGACTACGACTACGAGCAGCTCAGCCCAATGGCGAGGAGAGAGATAGAGACGCCCACTCCCCCAATTTCGGATTCTCTTGCGGTCTGTTTTCCAAACGCCTTCTACTTCTCTCTGCTTCTGCTGCTTTCATTCTTACATCTCGAATTTCTGCTCTTTTTCCTTTCCTTTTTTTGTTTGATTCGTACCAATTTGGTTGTTGTTTTTGGAGGGTTTTAATTATTTTTTTGAAATTTGATGTGTTTAGCGATTGAATTTGACTTTGGGTTTCGGATTTTGTTGTTTGGAGCTTGAATCGCGGGGTTTACTCTAGTGTTATGTGTGGTTTTGTTTACCCTTTTTCTTCTCCTTTCTGTTTGCTGTTTGTTTTGCAGATTTGGGGTTTGTGATTGCTGCACTGTGCTGCAGCGGGCGGCGGAGTTCGAGATCAAGCTATTTTTTTAGCGTGAGCTGCAACGAAACGGTGGAGATTTGAGGAGGATGGAGGAATGTGAGTAATCTGCTGTGGGGTTCTCTCTGTTGTCTGGGTACTGAAGACGGAGGCGATTCTCGGGGAATCTGTGGCTGGAAAAGGGTTGCCCGTGAAATGGCTATGTCTGTTGGTTTTTTAGTTGAGTTCTAGAAATTGCTGCTCTTGTATCTCGAGCTGCGGAGTGAAGGAGAAATTCTGGTTCAGTTCGAGATCTGACTTTGAGCTTCCCACAAAATGAGGGGGCGGTAGTTTAGGAGACAAAGTTAGAGATATATACAGGAGTGAAACTTCAATGGAAGATTTTTCGAAATATTCTCATAGTGTAGCTCATCTAGCAGTTCTTCGTCGAGATCATGCTTCCCTCAAGCGCATTGTCGCATCCCTTCCTCAGCTCGCCAAGGCCGGTGAGGTTAATACTGAAGAGGAATCTCTTGCTGCGGAGCTCCAAGCTGATGCTGTCTCTGCCGCTATTGACCATCGTGATGTTCCTGGGCGGGAGACTCCGCTCCACCTTGCAGTACGCCTTCGAGACCCGACTTCAGCTGAGATTTTGATGGGAGCTGGTGCTGATTGGAGCCTTCAGAATGAGCATGGTTGGAATGCTCTCCAAGAAGCAGTCTGTACTAGGGAAGAATCAATTGCAATGATAATTGCGAGACATTATCAACCTYTGGCATGGGCAAAATGGTGTCGCAGGCTTCCTCGCATTATTGCTTCTGCTTCCCGGATTCGTGATTTTTACATGGAGATAACTTTTCATTTTGAGAGTTCGGTTATTCCTTTTATTGGCCGAATCGCCCCATCAGATACTTATCGCATTTGGAAGCGTGGTTCTAATCTCCGAGCCGATATGACCCTTGCTGGTTTCGATGGTTTCCGAATTCAGCGTTCTGATCAAACATTTCTTTTTCTAGGTGAAGGCTACAATTCAGAGGATGGTAATGTCAAGCTATCTCCAGGTTCTTTGATTGTTCTCGCTCATAAGGAGAAGGAAATTACGAATGCTTTGGAAGGAGCTGGTGTTCAGCCAACAGAAGCAGAAGTCGCCCATGAAGTGGCCCTTATGTCGCAAACAAACATGTATAGGCCAGGCATTGACGTTACTCAGGCAGAGCTTGTTCCCCATTTAAATTGGAGACGGCAGGAGAGAACAGAGATGGTTGGAAATTGGAAGGCGAAAATATATGATATGCTTCATGTGATGGTGAGTGTGAAGTCAAGGAGGGTTCCTGGAGCTATGACTGACGAGGAGCTGTTCGCTGGGGATGATGAAGAAAGGTTGGCCAATGGTGGTGAAAATGATGAGTTTGATGATGTATTGACTGCAGAAGAGAAGATGCAATTGGATTCTGCACTTCGTATGGGAAACTCTGAGGGTCTAGCTGAGGACGAGGAACTGGTAGCCTTTGAAAGCCAAGAAAATGGTTCAGTAGGTTCCTATGAAAACTGTGACCCAAATGGTGCAACTAAGGAGAAGAAGAGTTGGTTTGGTGGTTGGAACAAGAAGAATGCCAAGGGAAGTAATGATGATCTCGATGATTCAAAGATTTTGAAGAAAGTTACGAAATCGGCTCCAGAAGGTGCCAATCAAAAAGTAGTTGATCATCAAAAATTGTCTTCTGAGTTATCCACAGAAGATATGGGGGATGCAAAGAAGGGAAAAGATAAAAACAATAAGAAGAAAAAGAAGAAAGGAACCACCAATGACTCTAAGCATGAAAGTGAGTATAAAAAGGGTTTGAGACCTGTCTTGTGGTTGACACCAGATTTTCCTTTAAAAACAGAGGAGCTTCTGCCTCTACTTGATATCCTAGCCAACAAGGTGAAAGCTATCAGGAGATTAAGGGAGCTTTTAACAACCAAACTGCCTCATGGCACATTTCCGGTGAAGGTAACATAACCTAAAATTTCTTGCCCCTGTTTCTTTTAAGATATTTGTTTCTGAAAAAAGTGAACGTTTCTTTCCATGTTGGGGCAAGATTATAGTTTTCTCGATCCATTAACTAAATCCCTCACTTTATTCTTATATCAATATAATTATTCTGTTTTTTTTTTTTGTTTTTGATAAGAAACAAGAGATATAATTATTCTGTTTTTCTATATCCATGAATCTTATTAAAAAATTTCCGGTTCTTGACAAGTTCAGAACTGGCCTTGTCATATGAAACTCCCAGAAAGAAAAAGGGTCGGCTCTAGCGTGTAGCTACAACCACTCAATACAAGGCAAAAATGTTTGGTAACCAGGGGATTTGTCATTAATCATTTTATGTTTTGATGAAGAAAATTGTAGTTGCCTGCAGCTTGGCAGCACCCTTGTTCAACCGTTGGTAACCAGGACACATTAATATATAGAGAGAAGTGATAAGAATTCTAGTAGCTCTTACTTTAATTTATACTTTCACAGTTTGCTAGAGCCATGGAAAAAAACATGTGAATTTCCTGAGAAATATTATAAGAAGAATATCCAGGAATGAGTTCTGTTATCTCTTTTCTGCCTCTTTTTCTTCCAATATCAGTGAGTTCTGTTATTTGTGTCGCCCCTTACCTTTTCTGTGAAGTATTTATCTTTAATATGATCTCTCTTCTTAACAAATGTTACTGTTTCTCTCTTAAATCTGTTTTTCTTTTTTTTTTTTAAAAAAAATCCGTGTTTGGATTTATTCTAATTTCCCTCTTACTGAACATCGATGAAACACAAGATGCTAAAAAATACTACTACAACGCGGTGGCAAATACCAGAAGACCTACCAATTCACTTTAGTGCAGTTGTCAAAGCACATTAAATTAGCTTTAGGGGAAATATGGTACTTTTTATATTGGTCAGTAGAAGGGATAAACTTAAAATTCATGTCTTTAAGGTTGTACTTATATTTTCGATCTCCATGATTTAGGAATTAACATCCTACAAATTTTCTGATGTCAATTGTCAATAGTTGTGACTTTTGAGGTCAGAAAGTTTTCTCATAACATGTAGGCATGTCATGTCAGCATCACATGTTTATGATATAAATCAATATGATCTTCTGACGTCAATAGTTGTGATCTCGACCTACTTAGGATATTAACACATGTTGGCATCCCCAAGAATTGGTCTATGGTTAAGAAATGAGTGAAACCTTTTCAATTTCCTTTGCCCCGTTATTTCTCCTCTTACCCTTTTGCTCTTATCTTAATTGTGATCACCAAAATTTGTTTCTTATTGAAAAGAGATGAAGCGATGTGTTTCATTCTGTAGGTTGCCATTCCCATTGTCCCAACTATTAGAGTACTTGTTACTTTCACAAAATTTGAGGAGCTTCTTCCGGTTGAAGAATTTGCAACCCCACTCTCGAGTCCAGCACATTTCCAGGATGCCAAGYCCAAGGAATCAGAGGGATCCTCGTCATGGATTTCATGGATGAGAGGAAGTCGTGGTGGGCAATCCAGCGACAGCGACAGTAATCGGTATAAAGATGAAGTTGACCCATTTAATATACCATCAGACTACACGTGGGTCGATGCAAATGAGAAGAAACGCCGCATTAAAGCAAAGAAAGCAAAGAACAGGAAGCACAAGAAACACGCAAATGCTAAAAGCGGGAATGGAGGACTTCAAATGAGTGAGGACGTGGAAGAGTAATATTTTTATAGCTGATTTGTGTAGCCATGCCACTTTGAGATCCTTCTGCAACAGATAAAGGAGGTAAGTTTATCTCCTATTTGCATTTGACCTTTTTCTATTTTGCATATTGAAAGATCATGAGCTAGAGAATCCATGGGTAATTTGTTTGGTGGGAAAGTCTTGTTGATTAATCAGGCATCGCATCTGTAGTAATTTTCACCTGGAATACATATTGGAGAGAAACAGTCTCTTCATCTTTTGTAGCTTTTTTTCCAATTTGATTTTCAATTAGACCCAAATCTTTGTATTAGATCATCAATTATAAATTTTACGTTTTTCGCTTTTGTTGTGTAAAAACTGACTCGTAGAGAGAAGCTCTTCTTGACCCCTGGACATGAATACTTCAATTTTAATATCATCCGAATGAATCAATGCGTTTGATAATGAAATTTTGACAAGGTGCCGCAAAGAAACTTCCATATTCTAGCGAACCTGAGTTTGGGTATCTATTTATGACAAAAAGATTGTGAGTTTATGACCAAAAAGATTGTAAGTTTGAGTCCCTCCCTCACATGTATTAAAAAAAAAGTTCGGCAACCGTTTCTGTTTCCTTGTCATATTGAGTTGGACTCCTTTGATCAATTTTAAGGGTAGAAGTAGAGGTTGGCTCAGGTAAATTTTTCTCCAAACTAACCAGTAAAGACTGAAAACTGAACCATCAAAATTGAACCCAAACCAACCCGAACCATCACACCGAAACAATCAAACAGTTTTTTCAAGTCAACTCCTTTCCTTTACATCAAAGACAGCTACCAAACAAGAAAAAGAGAATTGAGAATAGAAGACTTGTATTTCTTGTCAATCTCACTATACATGTACCATGTATAACCCACAAATTCTCATTACTCTCCCTCACTATCTCTTCCCCTTTCAAAAGAAAGGCAAAATAAAGTATCCTATTTACAGATCAGACGTGCTTATTTATTGACCACGAGACAGTTTTTCCTTTACCAACTTTACCAAAACCGATCCTTGTTAACACTCAAGTATCCGGCCATTACTTTACCCCCCGTGTTTCTCATTCCATCTATAAGAAAGCACCATGTTGAGCCCAATGCTCCAACGAAAAAATCAGCCTCAGTTGCCATCAGGAAGTTCACAAGGGGATAGTTTGTGCTGGTTATCCTACCAAGCTGTGCTTCGTAGGTGGCCATCGTAAGATTTCCTACTTGTCGTTTCACGTCTGTGTAGTAAAATCTCCAGGATGGGTAGCTTCTTGTTTTATCGATCACTTCCTGAGATATATTATAGATGGACATAGTGAGAGAAGAGCTTATAGATGTTGCTCTATCATCACACATTTCATATAGTGGTTAGAACACAGACCTGCATTTCGGTTGAAAGCCAAATGCTATCAAGATTAGGAAAACGTCTTCTAATGCGTTCGGCAAGGGCCATGTATCCTTCAAATTCAACAACCTTCATTTCACAGGCTTTATCTCCCATTCTTACATGCATGCTTAACAGTGGCCTAGGTATCCATGCTTTGTGATTCGACCATACGAAATCTTCTATATCATGCTTTGATGTCAGTGAATCTCCCTGAAATAAGATGCTCTATATAAGAGAAAAACCTGACCCTGAAAATCATAATCGACCAGTCTATTTGTAAATACCTACCGTACAACTACGGATTTAGAATGACAACCTGATTCTATTTCTAACAGTGTCATACTGTTTTACATCTTATCTTGAAAAATTATGATTAGACACTGTTGGTTCAATCATTGAATTTCCTTTAGCCATTTGATATTTGAATCCAGCAGCCAATTTTTTCTTGTCTTATCCCATCCTAAAATCCAAAAAAGTAAAACTAGTTTTCAACATACCTCTGGCCATTTTCCATGGAGACTCTTGAGAACCATTTCTGCAGCTTCCTTCCCGAATGCAGCATGGCGAGCGGCATTCATCAAGCCACATGTGTATTCTGTCTGAAATCTCATTAAGTACCGAACTGCCTGAGGGTAAAGTTTGCAATATCAGTGTTCTGTAATATGATAAATTCTGCCCTCTTAAGATTTGGGTAGGGTGGGAATGATGTCGTGGTAATATTAGTAGTGGCATATTTGTAATTATCCGACGAGTTTGTTAGGGTGTGAGTTCGAAAGGATTTGGTGGAGCTGCGCATATTCTGGGGATTAATTTCATCAGCTCAGTGTATTTTCTCTTTGGTATAATACAATTTCACTCCCTATTACTTTACAGCACAAATTCTTCTAATCTAATGTAAGACAAGTTTATAGGAGGTAGTTCATGTTCATTATTACATTCAAACACATCTTTTGTTTTAGTAAGCTATTTAAAAGGGTTTGTGTCTTAGGAAGAGGTTTAATCTCTTTCAGGGCGTCTGTAACTAAAGACTTCTATAATTATCTTTTAGGTTTTATTTCCGATTGGAGCGTTTTTTGGTTGGATCAATTGTTATTATTCAAGCAAAATAATCTTCTTGTGAGCCAACAAATGGGATTATAAAAATAGTATCGGTGCTGAGGTCCATGTCCTGTATTGCAAGGAGAAACATTGTTTGTAATCTAACAATTTACAGGAGCAATTGAGTCATCGCAATCTTCGATAACGATTCTTGAATTGAATTTGTTCGWTCGTGGTGTGTGCTTTTGCATGTATATGTATACGAAACGGATAGAGATCACCAGTTTTTTGGAAGAGCATAAAAGATTACCTGTGCTCTCCACCACCTTCTATCCATTTTGCGATGATGAAAAAGTAGACTTCCATTAACTTCTGTTGTGGGTTGCAAATAACTCCATGGATTCCCCCATGTCCTGCATTAATAAGAAAATCTTTACCTTAACTAAAGCAATACAATGAAAATCTTGATATCGATATCGATCTCAAATCGATACTTTAAAAATTATGGAAATCACTAAACTTGATCTGTATTTACATTTATACTAGTGCAATTTTTTATATTTCATTGATATTTATACAGCATATTGTCTATTGTCTTGATATCAATGTCAAATCCTTGGAAATATTGACGTGTTGATGGATATTTTTATTCCCCAAAGGCAATATCTCACCTAGGAATCCGACCAGTCCATATTTCCTTGGTGCTGTAGTTTTCTTTTGCCGTTATGATTCTGCTCTTCCAAGCTTCATTGTTCCCCAAAAGTTCAAATGCACGGTCCCGACATTCTTGGGATGTTTCAGGGAAGAAATAGCACGACCAACTGGACCGAGATGAACCTAACAAAAACCAGAGGTTAAGAGCCTTTTCAAAAGAACATGCTAGCAGAAAAGTAGTTGCTCTAAAATAATGCTCCCTAGCTGCGTTTTCTTAAACAAGTCCTTCCCAAGCTTCAAATTCAGAATAAAAGAGATACAGGRAAAAAGATGGAAAATATTAAATACAGTTCATACATATAACATATCGATACCTAATCTTTCTTTTTAATCATCCATATTATCATCTGTACCTTGACAACCATCATGGTCAGCWCGATTATAATAACTCGTAACAAGAATCCTCTTCTCGTTGATCGCTATAGCAAGAAGTCCACACATTCCTGCAATTTGAGCTCCGATCCCAAATCCAGGTAATCGCTCCCAATCAGCTACAAGAAACCGAACATTTGGATCTCTACAGTTCGATGGATGCTGGTGGATCCATAGTTCCCGTTGTACTTTTCGAGTCAAGGGGTAATTTTCTTCATCTGATCCGATAACCTGGAAACTATTGTATTGGTGTCAATTTGTCGTGGTTAATCAAATTTTCGGATTATTAATTTTATGGGATTATCCTATGCTTGTAGGACGATATACRAAGCTGTTTTAGGAATGTGCTAAACAATAATTAAACATGAGGCCCAAAATCATTAGAAGCAACATGATATAAGGCAAAAAATTAATAAAAAAAAAAACCTTTTTTCTCTAGATAAGAAACCAAACTTTCATTGAGAGATATGAAAAGATATACTAGAGGATAAAAAAACAGCCCGATAAGAGGAAACCCCCTATAGGAAGGGGCTCCAATCCAAAAGAATAACCCCTAACAGATAATTACATAACTCCAAAAGAATAACCCCTAACAGATAATTACATAACTCCTTAAAAAATGATCCCACAAATAAGTATTAAATCTAATAAATCTGATAAGATCCAAGATCTCTCCACCCCCCAAATTTTGTTGTTTCTCTCGAGCCAAATGCCCCCACAAAGAAAACAATTGAGAGTTATTCCTCGAGCAACTTGTAAAAAAGATCAAGAAACTTGAACACGTCATTATTTAGTTAACGGTATGAATGGCAGGAATGAACTCATAGAACTATACTTCAAAGCTTATGATCTTAATTTTGAAAGTTTAGTAACTAAATAGACAAAATTTGTAACTTAACCATAAAAAAAAAAAGAAAAAAAAAGATTATATGGAAAAAGAATCTAACATCAATATCACTTTACATATCAAAGGTTAAAAAATTTTAGAGACATACCCAAGGAGGGTAGGAACCTTTAGATATTTCCCGGTGCCGAAGGTAGCTCGATCTCTCAGTCGCAGCATCAGTCAGGTGCAAGTCTAAGAACCCCTTCCAACTTGTCCAAGGAGGGAATCCATCAGTTTCAGATCGCTCATCGAAACGTTTATTTGCTTCTGCTTTCAACTTGCAATCTTCCAAATGGGGTGCTTTCGGAACTGTAGCTTTGTCGTCCAATCCAAGACCCCGCGGAACAGCATTTTTTCCACTGATCGGTTCAGTCAACAAAACACTCCAAGCTGAATATAATAAGGATGCTTTCTCRTCATTGGCGATGTTTACCTTAATTCTCTGGAAATCCTTCAGTCTCTCAACCTCCTTTGGTCTAAAGTTGCAGCCTAACAAATGATTCACATTTTTTTCGGGGGTTGGAAAAAAGTGTCAAAATATAGAGATTAATCAACGATGAGCAACAAATTATTCACCCTTGGGGAGCAATTTAAAATGGCTGAATCATTTACCTTATTGCTTTCATGAAAGATCAGATATTGTATAGTTCCTTCAAGATGACATCTCATTGAAATTGCTTGAATGATTACATGCTTTTATATATATATATATATATATATTTTTTTTTTTCTAATTAAAAATGAATGATGATTTTATTCATGGCCAACTAAATAAAAAAGTAGGAACCAGTAGCTTCTCCCAGAAGAAAATAGTGAAGAATCTACTAGTCTTGATACAACTAAGCTATTGAAGTCAAAATGCATTGGGTAAAGTAGAAGCTATTCTAAACTTTAAGTACCTTAAACTACACCTTTTAATCATTCATTCCCATATACCTTTATACCAATTAATTTTTCCACAATCCAAACAAAAGTTCCATAACAAAGCTTCAAGAATTACAAATTTTTCCCTTTCTCCTGACAGTTTTGAGGATTGGTTCAGCACATCTCGACTAATCTTAGCTTATTCGCTAATCATTCGACCCTACAACATTAAGCATTAGAAAACTCATAATACACTATCTTTGGCTAAACACCTCGACTAATCTCATGAGATAAAAATCTAGTAGTCCTACCACGGCCGGTATCGTGGTAAGAAATTTAATATCTTAAGTAGGAGCCCACTTGAACCATGATCCCAATGATGGGGCCAAACCCATGGTGAGCTTATCTTTGGCTAACTCTCAAATATCTTAGAATTCAATCCAAATTGTATTTACCAAATTCTTAAATGTCAAATTCAGCCAACTCACCTTTCAGAATTTGTTCATATCAAACAAGCATAGCAATACATATGATTCCATTTAAGAGAGAGAGAGATGATGACTTACTAATATTTTCAGAAGTGGAGTTCCACAATGAAGAAGTCACTGAATTGGGTGAGAAAGAACTCCAGTCAAATCCCAAAGGRAAAGCACCAAGAAACAGAGAGGCAATACAAACTCCACAGAGAAACCCCACAACACAAATTTGACAAGGAAATGAACTCCCCAGTTGCAGAGCTTTCTGAGAAACAACTCTTTCCAAAGACTTCTGATTCTGTGCCTCCATCTTCTCTCTCCCCTTTTGACCAAAATTATAACCTCCCAACAAAAAAGAAACCCCTAAAACCACTTAAAACTTTGTCCTACCCTTTAACTCCAATCACATGATGCCACACCCAACTCCTCTTTTTCTTCCTCCATTGGTGAGAGATTAATATCAGTCTCAACCATCTACTTTCACTTTAAAACGCTCTCAAAATCTGTGGTTCATCTTCATTTCTCTCCTCCCTACAAATAAAAGGGGAAATCCATCAAAACCCACCACATAATTTATTGCAAACAAACAGAAAAAATAACAGAAAGAAGAAGAAAGTTAGGAACTACTGATAATCTGAAAGGTTTGCAAATGGAGAAAAAATAGTCAATACCCAGAAGACTGAGTCGAAAAAAAAATGAACCCCAAAAGGTTAAATCGACTACAAATAAGAAGAACTGGAAAATCAAACTTCGATTCTGTTCTGGGGTTCAGCTTTCTTCCGTTGGAGTGCAGAAATGAAGAGAGAAAAGAGGAAGAAAAGAATCTCCAAAAGCCGATTATCACAGGCTGCAAGAAAACAGAGAGGGGTTGGTTTGTTTTGTCACTTCCAAAGGCTTTTCCAGATTCTCAAAAGGGAAAAACAAAAACCCAAAAAAGCAATATAAGTGAAAATGAGCATAATCTATACAATTAAACCTACAGCTAATTAATTGTGTAAAGAAATCCCAAGTGGGGTTTTCCAATAAAACAATACGAAAACCCAGAAGAAGAAATGCAAATGAAAATGCAAATATACTGAAGCAGAGAGAGAGAGACCCGAAATGTGGCGTCTGTAGAGGAAACAAAGAGACAGATAATCCCTCTGAGCTCTGAGCTCCACTGCGCTGCTCCCATTTCTGTTACTTAATTTATTTATTTCGATTTTTTTTTTAAAATTTTTGCACTTTCTTCTGTTGCCTGCTTCCTTCCAAGTGTCTCTGAAAATGGGATATTCTCAATATTTCCCCATCCACTATTATTATCTTTTTTTTTTCTTTTTTGTGAGAATAGCATTTAATTCAAATTGTACAGGGTAGAATCTAGGAAAATCTCTCTCGATACTATAAAGTTTCTTTTTTATAAATAATTAAGTCCTTGTACTTTAAATCTTTTTAAAAAAGTTWAGGATTTTTTTTAGATAACTTTGAATGCTAGCAAAACTATTAGATAYCAATTTGAAAATTTAGCGTTATATAATACATATTTAACCTTTTTATTTTTATTTGTTGATATCCGTGTGTTCGAGTCAGTTTGCACGCAACTCGACTATTCACGGAGCAACTATCTGACCCTACTACATTTGGTTGAAAGAAAACTCGTAAGAAATCTTAGGTAGGTGGTCACTATGGTTTAAACTCATTCCCTCTAAGTTTTTTGCTATTTACATTGACCCTCATTGACCAATATAAACACACAAAAAAACATATTTAACTAGTTGAATTGATAATATATGACTTATCTAGGACGACTAATATGTGGGGATAGAAGATTCGAACCACGACCTTTTAGTTGAGAATATATGTTCTAACAGTTGAGTTGATACCATTTTCATTTATTATTACAATAATATATATATTCAAATGCTTATAAGTCGATAATACTGTATCTTTTCGCTTACCACCAAMATAGATAGTTGTCTATATTTTGGGGAAAAAATTATATTTTCTCTCTCATGTATTCATCTAGTCTTAACCGTAAAATTATTTAAATATTAGATTTTGGATGTCAACACCCAAATTTCTTGTCATTGTGTCAACACTCGAAGGTGCTACGATACATAATTTATAGTGTGAACAGGAGGAGTAGATAAATATGACGAGAAATAGCATAAATTTTACAAAAGTATCCCTCTCTTCTATCTTTGTYGCTGTATGATTATGGTTGGTTTTGGTTAATGGTGGGGGCAGTCCCCACTGCCATTTGTCTTTTACATTCTCAAGGGAGGCCACAGCTGTTCTTCCCCAAAATTTTATGTGATGAACTTGGGCCCACATGATCTCACCATCATTTTTCTTTTCTTTTCTTTTCTTTTTTAATTTGATTTTTTATTGTTTTCACTCTTGATATTTTATCAGTAATTTGTTGTTTCCAACAGAAATTTGAAAAATATATATAGTGGAAGACTAGATTTAGAAAGAACAGTTAAATTCTGAATTTGGATTCATTTATTTATGTAGGAGGAACTATGAGCTCTATATCAAGAACTTGAAGTTTGTTGAAGTCAAATTTAGTAACAAACAACAAATTTTTAGAATATGTTGGAATTTTAATTCAAAACATTTATATCATATTCTAAGGTTTTGAATGTCATATATTTTTGTCATTTTGACATTTTTAATGTAGTTGTTTGTCATTCTGATTCGACTCAATGTACAACTCATCCTATCTTGTTATACATTTTTCAATCGCGATGGTCGATGAAAATATTCACGTCAATAGATATTTCTACAAAAATCATAAAAATTGAGGAATTCATAGAGAAAATATTTAAATTAACATATAAGTGTTAAACTTTTAATAAATTAAACAGTTATTATTAATAATATTAAATTCATATTAGTGATATTTTGTKGACTTTTTTTAAATTTTTTTGTTGATGTTTTAACTGTACGACGAAAATGTGATTCATATGATCTTTTGTCAATGTGTGTTGAATTGGTCTATGGACATATAAAAAAAAACATCATAAAAACTTAATATTTCGATCAAACATTTCTCTAACCTTTTGGTTTAATAGATATATCGTCGATATGTCATTTCCATCTTTATATTAAAATTTACAGTTTATTTTATATTTTTCCACCAACAAATTATATTATATGTTAAAAATGATGTTACTTTGTAGACTAGTTTACATTTTTTTATACTAATTAACGATAGAGACCATTAAGATTAATAAATAGAAGTATACTATGAAATTGACACTAATTATAGTTGACCTAATTTTTAAATATTTAGAGAATTGTGGTTTTTGRAAAGTCTAATAATTAAATTATATTGTGAGGAATTGCATGGCTTTGTCCATATCTGAAAATAATGAATTAGTTCTAAAAAACCATTCTTAAATTCAAATCTCTGTTGATTATTTACATCCGGCCAATAAAAAAAAAATTTATGTTTTCTGTTTATTTATAAATATCACAAATTGTATTAAACACCCTTTTTTTTTCAGAGTTTATATATTAAAGACTCGTGACAAAATGTTTGAAATTTCTAATAATAAATAATATACTTTAAAAATAAAGGCAAAACTTTTGAAATAGTATAGTGGCCATAACTAAACTATTTTAGAACATTGATAATATATATATATATGTATATCATTGAATGTTAGCAACATTTTTAATGATCAAAATTAAGTTGTTAAAATTTTTAGATTATAAAGATTAAATTGTTATTTACTAAACTTTAGAGATTAAATTGTTATAAATCTGAAAGTGCATGAACAAAATTGTTCGGAAACAAAATCGTTATTTCAATAAAAAGTACAATGACCAAAAAAGATCTTTAAACAAAATAGTTATAAACTTCATCCTTATTTACGATAATAAAATAGTAGTTCAGTAGAATGAAATAGAACCTTTCAATACCATTATGATAATTTGTTTTCCTTCATATTTATCCACATTATCGCTTAATTTATTATTTTAATGGTTAAAAAACACACTTGTTACTTGTATTCCCATTAAAGTAACCGATTCAGTCCATATAATTTGGAATTGGTTACAATTTAGTCCTGTTAAAAATTAACAGAAATTTGATATGCCTACCAACTAGTATCTTTGTGGGCAATTGTGTGGTTTGATTTAACTATGGGTCGATTCAATCTTGATTCGACTTAACTCTGTACATTCTTAAAATTTGTCTTTCCTTTCAATTAAAGATTGTTATCGTCTAGTATGAGGGTATCAATAGCAATACAATATTTAGTGTGGATGACAATATTCAGAGAGGGAAAAAGAGAGAGATAGGGTTGAATGTTGTTGCTAATATATAATAATAATAATAATTTAAAAAAAAAAAAAGTATAATGGAAAAGTGAATTCTTCAATGGAAATCTGCATGTTATTTGTAAACTGCTGATTGCTTGACCAAAAAGGAATCCACTCCTCAAAAGAAAGGAAACAAAAAGAAACCAACTTTTTAGGATTTCAACTCAGGAGTTATTAGCTACGGTCAAGAGTACAAGATCCGTGAGTAACTCCACATTACCAACGTTGATTTCTCTGACTTCCCATCAAAAGATCTAAATCAACGGACTGCATCTTCTTCTTAGCAGTGGGACCCACGGACCTCAACCCGTGGCGCGAAACTGCAGCTCCCACCTTCAAGTTGATATTTTTAATCCACAGTTTCTATTGACTATTGAAAAATTATTCTAAAAAATCCATGAAGTTAACATTCCGTTACTGACACTGTGAAATAACACATAATTAAAAGTCTTGTCTCGATCCTATGTTTCCTTCATATTAGATATCATAAGATAAATTTATTTAAATTTTTTAGTTCATTATTGATTTAATCATGCTTAAGATGATATCATAGTAGGACTTTGGTGATTTAATCATATTTAAGACTTAATTAGCATGAGAAATATGTGCACTAACAATAACCATCCTCTATAGTATAGACGTCACTACAATCGTCTCGATGAGGTTATGGAACCCTTGTCGTATCACCTATTATGACATTGAGGTCTAGTGTTCGAACTTTTGAGTAAACTTAATATCAAAAACTCTTGATGTCTCATAGGTCGGGTGCGGATGTCGTCCCCAATTATAGGAGTAAAAGTTAAAAAGCTATTGATTCTGAATCATGAAAAATATTAAAACTTTCAATTATTTGAATAATTGGATTTGATTGCAACAATTTTACAAGTCTTTGAGGTATAATGCCAACAACTGCAAGTTTGAAGCATTACAACTCCCGTAGTTTAAAGATGGTTTCCCTTAAATATGCCTTTCTATCAAATCTATATCCAAGAATTTATAAATATTATTGTATTTTTTTAGTATAACAAATAGGGTATGAAGATCTGAACTTTCGATTTTGAAAGAAAAAATAGATATCATTTATTATTAAGTTTCACGGACATTATCTAAAATTTAAAAGATCTAACTTCATCATCATTAACATTAGCTAAACACTCGTACATTTTCAACTTTCCACTTATTTGGTACTAAAACCACTTTCCCCACCTAGAAAGTATATATGTTTTAGGTGTTGGACAGTTTTTTTTTTTTTATATAGTTTAGTTCAAATTATTAAAAAAATTCAATTTTTTAATATTTTTCAATTTAGTGGCTGTCGATTAAAATAAAAATTGATTGATAACAAACTAGCATAATATTTATTGAATTGGTAGAAATCTAGAAAAGAAAAAATGTCATCAAGAGAAGGAAACTCAAAATTTCTACCAATTTCTTAAAAATTCATGAGAGGAATTAGAAATTTTCATCCTTTAGATGACATTTTTCCTTCTTTAAATTTATGTCGATTTTAACATTTACCAACGTTCAAAATTGAAAAATATTAAAACAATAAGACTAAATTGAAAAAAAATATATTTAAACATTAGAGATTAAAACGGATAGATTATATTATTAGATTATACTAATTATTTGAATTAGAATAACTTATATTTAAATTTACGTTGAGATAATATTAATATAAATAGATTATTAAGTTTGTAAATTTAATGAAATTCTAGTGTCGTTTATGCTATTTTACTCTCTTCCTGTAAAATTAATAAAAACCTATACTTAACCAAAAATATAATGAATTCTCAGATTGTTTCTCCTAAAAAATTTTGTGATTATCTAGAAGTTATAAAAATATGATATTATTCCAACAATTTTACTGTTTGTGACAAATACATATGTGGTTTTTTTTTTTTTAATGAATGATGCCAAAATTTGAAGTATAGCACATCTCATCAAAATTCGAGACATATATTAAATTAATATAATGTTTATAAAATGGAAAGTATTGAAAATTTTCAATAAATAACTACTCCCAACATGACTTGTCTCGTACTTCGTCTTTATTTTGGCATTTTCTTCATTTAATTATTTTCATGGTCTTATTTTTATTGCTATATTAGAACTTTAATAGATTAAGCTAATTTGACTTTTTAGTATCTAACTTTATCATTATCTAAAATCTCTTCGGAATCAATCTTTTAAAAGAAAAGGATCATAAAAGTTAGTTTTTAATTTTAATTTTAATTTTTTAGGCTAATTAAGTTATTATTGTCTGGGGTGGTTGGCGTATTTTTGCAATTAAAGTTCACCAAATTTATAAACAACTTTTCATTAGTTTAGAAATTATAATTAATTACATTCTCAATAATCACTAACTTGTACTCAATGAGCTGTTCTCAAACATTATTTAACCTATCAAATTATTAAGATATGACATCATTTTGATTGTTCATATAATTCTTAATGTAAAAAAAATGTGTATTTTGTCAGGAAAATAATTCAGATCAAGTAAATATGCAATTTTTTTCCGAARTCAAATATGCAAAAATTAAAATAAAAAGTAAATAGGTTTAGTTATAAATTCGATCTTTGATGGGTACAATCAATTGGGTCACTGTTTGAACATTAAAAAATCCATTCGTGAACTTTCAATTTTAATTAATTTAAATTTTGATATRGTGGATTTACTCTCTTGTGCTATCAATTACCTGGTCATAGACAGACCTCTTTTTAAAAAAACCTAATTTGGATATGTTCTAATTTGGGATCATTTTTCACTTTTTGTCTTTGTAAAATTACCAAAATATCCTGGTTTATTTTAAGTAAAATTATCCACCAATCTCTTCTCTCAACTCTTAGCATTTGCATGATCCAAGATAAATGCATAAGATTTGTCCGAAATTAATTACAAAAAAAAAAATTAAGGTTTCATAAATGTCGTGCCAAAATTACATTAAATGTCCGAGATTTAATTGACAATAAGGGCTGAAAGAAACTCGAATTAAGAGGGAGATAATGAAAAAAAAAACTAGAATTGGGATCCCGGACCGGGATTGGAGGATCACGGTCCGGGTTAGAAGGATCCCGATCCGGGATTGTTTTTTTGCATTCTCCCTCCTCTTTGATATCAATTAAATCTTGAGCATTTAATGCAGTATTGTCCCGAGATTTTTGTAATCTTGACTTTTTTGTAATTAAATTTGTACAAATTATGTAATTATGTACGTTTTTATTTTTTCCATATTAAACTTTTAATTTACTATTTAAGTTAGATATTTTTCTTAAAAGTTAGATTTTTTAGGGCTGTAATTCATTATTGTGAGATATTTGGGGGGAATAAAGATTTGTGGAGGGAGGGATGTTGATTTTGAAACATGAGGAGGGTACTACGGTAATTTCACATTTAAAAATTATGAAATTATTAATAAATAAGGAAAAGTGGTGTCATAGATTAGTTTTTTTTCAAAATTGGGTCATAAATCCAAAATGAATTATGGGAGGGGTCAAAATTTCAAATTTTCCCATCATACTTTGCTATAAAATATATATATATATATATATATATATATATATATATATATATATATATATATATATATATATATCACCTCATTATATAAAAATCATTACCTGCTAGTTTATCATATAAAAATCATTACCTGCTAGTTTAGAATATCAGGTTAACATTTAAATAGCGATAGCGATGTTAATGACAATAGAAAATTGAAAGTTCATGATGTAATTAAAAACTTATTAAATTTCAAGATTTAAGTAAACACAATCATAAAAAATTATACACTAAATTTATAGTTCAAAAGAATATGTATTATGCTGTAAAGTAAATAAAAGATTGAAAGCTAAGTTGAAATTAAAACATTTACAATTTTTTAGAATAAAAAACACTTACATTCAACCATCAAATTTACTGTTAAGTTTTTTAGCTTCATAATAAATTATTAGTCCCAAGTATCGAATTCATGAATTTCATTTCACGAACAATTACAATCAATATAACTAAGCGGTATAGACATAACTTAATCTATTGACGTTGGTGGAAATTCTTAAGCAACACCTTTCTCACCAAAAAAAAAAAAGGCATATTATTGTATCAATCTTTTATTTATTTTTATCAAAAACTAATGAATAGTTATTTTTTTAATCCTTCTTTGTAAGATTGATCCCCAACTAGAATATTTTAATAGGAAAGAAAAAACAAACAAAAGTATGAGAGAGAATAGAAAAACAAAAAGTTTGAAAGCARCACGACTGTTTTTTTTTTTAATAATAATCCATTACTAAGTTTGGCTTCTTTTGAGTTATTATTATTTTTCAATAATGATTCATCCCCAAGTTCTGCTGTTTCTTGAGTTATTATTATTATTCTATTATATATATATATATATATATATATATATATTTGAATACAAGTAGGGTATAGGAATTCAAATCCATGATCTCAAATAGGTGTCAACGGCTAAACTGAGTTCAGTTGACCATTCATACTTTAATTGTTTATTAATATTGTTAATGGGAAATATTATTAGARAAAATTAAACTTACGAGCTAGGAACAAGCCTAGTTTTTCCAAATATTGGGCCCAAAAAAAGCCCATGATGGTTCAAGAAAGGAAATAGAATCTCAGGCCCATCAGAAAGTCAAATACTAGTTTTTTATTTTTTTTATTCACTTATTTTTTTAGTACGACAGTGGGGCAGAAGATTCAAACTCATGACCTAGTATTCAAACAAATAGTCTTTGTCTCGTATATTTCTATACACTGAAGTATATAGAAGGAGAGGAAGCAAGGGTCAAGAGAAGTCAGCTCGCTTTGAGCCCCTTTTCGATTCCTTCACCCAATCTCACGAGAAGCAAGCCCAAAGGGCCCTACCTTGACCTGTCCCAGACACCCAGCMATCACAAGGCTACTGACATTGCCAAATGCTTCTCCACAAAACAAGTTCGGGCCAAAAACAGGTGACTATTATAGCTAAACTAAGCTCATGTTGGCCAAATACTAATTTTGTTATTAATTCACATTTATGAGTTTTTACTTATATAAATTTTATTGGAAAGAAAAAAAAAGAGGATCCTGTCAATATTTAATATTTATTTTAGTGACACTGTCTTCACTAATCCGCAGGGTGTGAATAACCTTATTCTTCTTCATGTTGATAAGGAAAATTAATTAATTACTCTAATCGATGTTTGTCTGATTTCTAATGATGATCTCGACTGGTGGGGTGCCCCGCCTCCACCAAAGCACCAGCAGGACTAGTTGAATTGGGAAGGTTGTTTAAGAGTGAATTTTCAAATAGATTCAATATTCTTTTAATTTAAGTGTTTAATTTTTAGCATTAGAAGTTTATGAGGTCAAATTGTCGTTATAAAGGTTTAGGAGTTTAATTTTTACTATTGAAAATCCATGGGTATAATTTTTTAATTTTTAAAAGGTTAAGGATTTGTTGTTTGATGTGAAAGTTTAGAAATGAATTTATAACAACTGGCAACACTTCAAAGATGGGTTAGTGCAATTTASCCTAAAATTAATTATTAGAAATAAAAATAATAATATTGTAAACCAATTTTATCTAAATTTAAAATTAAAAAAAATATATGTATTTGACTAATTTTGTAGAGCAAAAATGTTTGAGATTTGACTATATTTGAGCTGACGCTCCTTGAAAGATACTTAAGCCAATGAATGAAGCCGAAAATAAAGCAAATTCCAACGCTCCCAACGGTCATATTTCCTCTCACACTCATCAAAATCCTTTAAACCCAAACCCAAAACCCCACTTCCATTCAATCAAACCAAATCCTCCGTCGATTCTTCCAACAATGGGTTGCTTTCTAGCTTCTTGTTTCCGCCATTCCAAGCGCCGGAAACCCAAAAAGTCCCCCTCGTCCTCAAATCATGTAATTGTAACCCCCCTTTTGATTTCTTCGTCTTTCTGTGGGTTTCCTTTTTTGTTCTTGTTTCCCAATGGTCGCTGTAATTTGAAGTCTTTGGTTGTGTTTTTCTGTAGATTCTTAAACCTAATGAAGCTGTTCATCCGCTGGATCGCGCCAAGGAAGAGCCGCAACTGTCGTCGGTTAGCCTAAATGCGGATTCTCTGTAAGATCTTTGCGTTACAACTTGAGTTTTTTATTGTAGTTTTCTTTACTTAGGGTTAATTTCTCTGATTTTTTTGATGCGTAGAGAGAAAGTTGGAGAGCAGATTGAGTTGTGTCACAGTGGTGAGAAAACTTCTGACCCGATTGTTGAGGATGATGCAGTGGTTCCTACTCAGGATGTTGAAAATGTTTTGGATGAGGTTAAAAAGGAGGAGAAGAGTGGGCTGGAAGATGATGAACCGAGAGGAAGCTCGAATTTATCCACTGCATTTTCTTTGCCTCTGAATCATAGGTATGCAGATTGCAGAAACAGCAACGACGACGAATGTGTAGAGGAAATGGATCTTTTAGATGAAGGAGAAGGAAGAAAAGATGATGGTGATGGAAGAAGTGAGTTATTTGTTCAGCAGGAATCTTCAGAGTCTCTGTTTTCTTTGTCATTAGGTTCAAGGAAACAAATTTGTGCAGTTGAAGCTGGAGAGAATGAGGTTAATAGTCCAGCTCCAAGCCATTGTTCTTGTGGTACTCAACCTGAGAAGGCTTCACCGGGCCAGAAGACGGGATGTCAGAACCGGAATGCCGATTCTGTTCTTGCCCCAATTGAGAATGTTACTCATTTGAATGCTGCAAGAGTGAAAACGGTGCCACCAGTTCGTCTAGAGAAGGAGAATATCGATTCAGAAAAAGATTATGATGTGCCCATCAGTCCGGAGCCTACTCCTAAAAGGCCGTTAAGAAAGTTGAAAGAAAATCATAGCAATTCAAAGCCTGCAGAGGACGAGATCGCGGTAGATACCAGCCTTTCGAACTGGCTGATTGAATGTGATACCACACCAAAATCCAAGAGTAGTTCTAGCTCAATTGGAAACTCACCTATGTGGACTAGAAATTCAGCCAAAAGCTATGAAGACAGGCCAATTTTAGGAGCATTGACACTAGAAGAGCTTAGACAGTTCTCTGCATTTTCGACTCCAAGGCGATCGAGGAGTCGGAGTCCGGAGGAGACACCGATTATAGGTACTGTTGGGAGTTATTGGAGTCATACAAGACAGGATGCAGATTTCAATCCAGGCTCATCATCACCTTGCACGGGATCGACGAAAACAGCTAGAAAAAACCGAGAGGTATTTGGATATCTTTTTGAATGTATCTTCCAGCCAATATGCAGTGATATTAACTTGTTTGTTTGTGGTTTCAGGATGAGAGGGTCAATTGGAATTCAACTCCATTTCTAGAAAGATTGGACAGGGCTTTGGCATCAAATTCTGCTGAAGTTTAGTATGTCTCTAATTAGAATATTGTTGTGTGGTCTTGCTTTATAAATTGTCTTTTCCTTTTCAACTTGCCTTGGAAAAGTGAAATATATTTTTGGATGTAAAAAGCAATGTGCAGAAATAAGTAAATAATTATTAGTTCTTTCTGTTGTTTGCTTTGCTCATGAACATGTCTATCCTTTTGTAAGTAATTTATGCTAATGTTTCATTCTCTTTAAAAGAAGTCATCTGTATCTTCCCATTGGTATACAGCGGTCCCAAGTTTAGAAGGCAATGTCGAGATAATAGTCATTGGTAAGTTAGCTATCTACACACTATGGATCAAAAGTAAGGAAATTCTAGAATGCATTACTATCAAATAAACAGTCCTCTACGCACTCGGCATTTCCATCAGAAAGTACTGCTCCAAGCCATTGTTTCACCATCRGGCAATCCAAGCATACCTTAGTGGATAAGGCACCAATTATTTTCATGGGAGTGAAAATTCAATCTCCCAAGTCCCACCCCACATAAAAACTATTCTCACAATTGATTTGTTGTTCTTCCTTTCCATGAATATAGATCTGATTATTTTGTGGATGTTTGCATTTGGTTCCTACATTTAGCTTTCTGTTTGGTTTAATATGTCATTTTACTATATGGTAGTTCTTTCTGTTTAGTTTAGTTTTTTATAATCAGATCATTCAGTCCTATTGATCTTTAAAGTTTCATCTTGTTGGGACCAAATTGGTTCGTATAGTCGCTTTTGAGCAAGTAGGAAGTCGTGTTCAAGTCTAGAATTGGTCCAATTTTCCTTTCCATTGTCTTATCGACAAATCCGACCTTTTCAATTTGACTTAATGAAATGACCTTGGCTTTAGGACAATTAATCGGACGAACAAGGCTAAGATAAGGGCCTATTCAGAATCCCTATTCAAATTTCTTGCTTGACTGATTGACTGATTAAGAGAGTTCAGACGAGATTAAACTAAACAGAAAATTCAGAAAACATTCATACATTTTACTAATGAAATAAGAATGGTGAAACTCCACTGAATCTTTGCTCAACCTGAGTAGCTATTTCTATGGACTTTTGAGCAATGTAAAAATAGTTCACTTTCTGCCTACATTGTTTAAATTTCAAATTAATGTACAATCAATTTTATAAACTTTATAAGCCTTCAAAGCCGAGGCCTTAATATTTTACATTGGARATTCTATGAAAACAACCTTAATCTATACATTCAAGTGAAGATTGTACTATTATAGAAAGAGAGAGAGAGAGGATTAGGAATCACCTTGAGGCAGTCTGACGAGCAATTGCTGTAAGTTGTTCAAGTGAAGATTGTACTATTATAGAAAGAGAGAGAGAGAGGATTAGGAATCACCTTGAGGCAGTCTGACGAGCAATTGCTGTAAGTTGGGCCAAGTGTTCCATCATTTGATTCTGTCCCATAACAAGAGTTTGTAATTGAGCTCTTATTTCAGTTAACTCAGCTTCAACTGTATCCTCTTGCGCTGTGGTGGTTGTTCTTTCTTCTTTCTTGCTTGTGGACATCTCATTCAACACATCTGATTCTCGTCTTTCTAATTGCTCTTTCTTGGAAGACTGATCGTCTTCAACCTTGTTGATTGAATCATAATGAATCAGATGCAATCAGTTGTATTTGATTATAAAAATGAGCAGTAAGGAAGTTGCAACAAATGCATGGTGTATGTCGTTTTTGCATACGGACTACTCTTAAGTTGTATAATACTTGTTCTTCATAAGTGACAAAATTGCTTCATACTGTTGGCCAAGTTAAATTTTCCATCTGATGGAAGATAAGTTACATAATAAATTGCAATAACTTTTATGGAAAAACCAAGTTGAAAAAGTAGCTGGAGTTAGATTCGAAGTTTGGGAAGAGAGGATTTTTCCAGAGGGTGTAATGTGTTAGAGAAAGAAAGATAGAATTTTTAAAGAAAAAAGTACAAGAAAGAGGAAGAGAACTTTTTACATGGAGATTTTAACTTGGCTAATGGTGGTAGGATTCAAATTTGTTACTTGTACAAGAATGAGAGTTCAATTTTTACAATTAAAGTTTGTGGGTCACTCTAACTTGGAGATAGTCTTTGCATTTTACACTTACTGTCAATTACTATAAATGTTCTAACCAGAATGGTTTTTTAGAATGATTTGAAAGTTTAAAGACAGAAATGAGAGAAGTATAAAGATGGAGACTAACATCAGATTTAAACTAAAATTTGGGGTGATGAGAATTTAGAAATACGAGATTTCGATTTAAAAAATGCTTTTGGCCTCCAACTTTTGAGCCAGAAAAAGGAACTAAACTACATACAGAGAGTAAAGAGAAAGAACATACCTTTTCATCAGCAGGGGGTGATGATTTTTCAAGAGCACCTTCCAGTAACTTGAATGATTTGCAATGGCGTACGTCCAAAAGCTGTAACGATGGACAGTCCAAAGTGTATTTCCCCGGATAGAACCTCTTGAACTCAAACAAATTCCAAAGATGCAACGATGTCAGCCCAGTTAAAAGAAACGCCACATCTTCATCTTCTCCTCCTCCTTTAGAAACAATTTCCTCCACTCCACAGAACTGTATTTTAAGCTCTTCAAGTTGTACGAGATCCTTAGCTATGGATGCTGGGAAGAGATTTACCAGGCTTTGGCAATGTATTGTATGCACAACTTGCAGAGATGGATAGCTTAGGAATCTGTGTGGGTCTGAGCTCCATATATGCTTTAGTTTAGGTAGACGAAGCAGCTTCAGCTCTTTCAGATGGTTAGCTGCCATGGCTGCTACCTGGTCGCCATTGTTAACAGAACCTTTCACCTGAAATATCTCCACCAGGGAACTACAATCTGTAACAATTAACCTCTCGAGGTTTGTGAGTCTGTTGAGCATGTAATCTGGAAAGATTGTCTCCAGTCTTCTGCAATGTCTGATGTCAACTTTTTTCAACTTTGAGAAGGCTCCTGAAGTAGCTTCTTTGTCCCATAGTGTCTCCAAAGAATCCATGCGAGAGATTACAAGAGATTCAAGGCTTGGGAAAACATTCTGCAGTTATGTCATTCGGTTTGTCACTCTTGCTCAAAAATCAAAATATTATGGGAAGGTTAAATATAGTACTGATTACTGAATATATATATATATATATATATATATACTCAAGTTTTGATTATTCCATCTATTTAGCTTCTGAACTAACAAAAAATCATTACGTCATTTTAAGGATCTCATAATGGGACCTAACAAGAGTTTATAATATAAGTGAGCTACTCCTCTCATTGTCAATTGATTTTGAGATGGAACCTCGTGAATATTGATATGTCCTTAAATTTTAAAGTACTTCTATATGCACACATGGTGCCATGCTTTTGTCCTTTCATAGAATATTGAGGTGACATGATTATTAGACCAATATTAGCTAATTTCGCATATCTTGACAAAGTAGACATCTAGACGTATTAATTTAAATCATTTATCTTGACCTATCTGTTGTCTAGTTGTTACATGTATCTAAAACATTCATTTATTGTGTCATGTCAAACCAATCAATGTTTATCTACTCATTCTAAAAAGAAAAAAAAAAGTTTATCTATAGGCATGTTATTGCATTCTGTTCCTCGCGTCTATGGCAGAAAATAAATAAAAGTATAATTTAAAGATCAGGGACATAATTGAAATTTTTTTCGAGATTATGGACTAAGCAAACATTATTCTTAAAATTTAGGAACTAAGTTTAGGAGGAAAAATCATCTAGAATGGAGAGCATCAACATGTTGAAATTGTACCTCGTTCTGAAAAATAGATTGGGTAGTGTAATGGCTGCCCAGATCTCTAGCTTCTGAAATGGTTATATCTTTCATCAACTTACAGTTACTTATTTCAAGACGTTCAAGATGCACAAGGCTTTTTGCCATAGTGATTGTCGTTAAATATTTGATTGAAGCACAGCCCTCCACACTCAGAGAAGTTAGATTTTTAACGCCAGAAAAGCTAGCTGGAAGTTGATCCTGCCAAATCTTTCCCGAATTCAAAGCGTGCAATTTTAATGTTTCCAATTTAGGGAAGGAAACCTGCAAAACATTTATAGAGTAAAAAAGCTTTTAACAGTCTGTGAATATATTGAGAGAATGAGTTCGAGGGGAGCAGAATGAAGTGGGTTTAATTTTTAAAAAATTATTCAAAAAGGGAAAAACTTGCTTCAACGTATTCCAGTGTATTCTTTTATCTTTCTACAGAGAAGATAAATGTTGTTTTACCTCTACGACAAACAATTAACACTTGAAATCGTTAGAAATGAYCTAACAGAAGCCAACACAGAGAACCTGATCAATGCAGTTAATATGACAGGTAAAAAATGAAAATTTTACGGTTAAAATTGCTCTTGGCTACAAAGATAGCTTACTTTATTATTATTATTATTATTACTTTTTAGAATCAATACCTACCAAAATAGCTTCATTCAACCACAAGATTTCTCATAACTAGACAGACCCTCCAAAAGAAAAACGTACTAACAAATTGAGATATTAATATGACCGCTTATTAATTTTAAAGTTCAATTTGATGAAATTAAAATTTTGAAGTTAAAATTGACTAGGTAAAGTTCCTAAAATGCTAATAAGTAATCAAATAGTTTTGGACTCACCTTTTCATGTTGATTATCATCTTATTTTAAGATTGGTAGGATTCACCTAAAAAAATATTTATGAACCGTGACATTTATAAATACTGACAATGTGACAGGCGTCTAAGAATTAGCCTATCCTGATACTAGAAAATCAATGCTTGAGTCCATTGATTTGGTTACTAGATAGTAATTATATCATCCATGACTGATTCTAAATTTTAAAGCCATACAAAGGTATATAATGGAAGTAGTATAGTCTAGCATACCTCTTTGTTGAGAAGTGGATGAAAACTAGGCTTAACGGTGGAAATTGTATGACCTGCATCCACTTTAGTTGAAGGCACTGCTGTGCTGCTTTCATGACAGTAGAAACCCATAAGCTCTGGTAGATGTTGGAGTATCAGAGAACGCAATTCAGGGAACTCAATCATGTTCTTCTCATCCATCTTATCATCATGGATGGAAACTACTGTCTCCATCACAGGGCACTCACTAATTTCCAGCTTTTGAAGGACAAGGCCTCCACCCATGGAAGGTGGGAAAACAAATTTCAATCTACTACAGCTTTCAACTTTTACTCTTTTCAAGTTACGGAAGGACATCTGTGGAAGTGTTCCACGACATATCAATCCAAGGTTCGCCAGATTTTTTAGACTTAAGGACTCCAACAACGGAAATGCACTGTGTGGATGCTGCATATTCTCTGAGTTAACAACAGTCACAATCTCAGCATTGTTATGGACACGCAATCGCTTCAATTTTGGAAAGCCTTTGTGGTCTAGACTAAATAGGATATTCTTGGCACTCCTCAATTCATCTAGATACAGATCTTCAGTATTCTCTAGTAGTGCTTGAATTGCATCTTCTCTCTGAAAGCTGCTCTCAAGCTTGAGTTTCAGGGTCTTTGAAGTTTCATACTTTCCGGACCAATCCCAACCATCTCCAATCAGTATTCTATAACCAATCAAATTTCTGAAAAGCGAGGCTCTTGGTAGAATTCTGGCATCCGAAATGTGGACATGTAGAGTGGTCAGCCGTGGTAGATTGTTCAATTCAGCAATCCCTGCATTTATATTTCCCTCATTGGCGTGTCCTACATTCCAAAGTTTAAAACTATTGTCCAGGTACAGCTCACACAACCCTGTCAACCTGGATAAMAGGTTTGCAGGGATCACCTTGAGTTTGGAGCAATTAGATAAGTTTAACATTTTCAAATTGGTCAATTGCCCAATTACTCTTGGGAGTGCAACAATGTCAGATGCTCTCAGGCTGAGGATTTCAAGCTTTTTCAGTTCCCCGACTATAKACATGTCCGGTAAAACACAGTCATCTAAACACAATGTCTGAAGGTTTACCAGTTGGTTGATCGATGATGGAAGCTGTACTATACATAAGCCAGTCAGATCTAAAACTCTTAATTCCTGCATACCTGCAAAAAAGCTTTCAGGTAATCGCAGAGGTGTTCTTTTTCCAACCAATAATAGGAACTTAAGCTGTGGACATGTAAATTCTGGGAGTTCAGTGAAATCGCTACAGCCTAGCGAGATTGCAGTGTAATCTTTGAACTCATCTATTGGGGGCCACATTTTCTCTCCAACACCATGTCTTACCAAATATTTGGACTTCATTTTAGATGCAACCAAAATAGCCGTATCTCGAACTATGTCATGCATTTTCACAAAATCACTATCAGCCCCATCCAGCAACAAGTAAGAAGTCTTGAGCTCATCAACCAAAGAAAGTATTCTACCTCTTGCCACCACTAGAGAACTCATGCCATTTAATAGCCCCAGACCCATCGCATACATCAACAAGTATTTGATGTTAATCTGATAATCTTCTGGAAATAAGCTACATAGTAAAAACAGTGACCTGGCTTCATCTCTATCTAAAGATTTATAACTCAATTTCAAAGAAGAATATACCTCTTTGTTCACCCCGTAGTTGTTGGGTTGGCCGGGAAACTTCAATTCTTGCAAGGCATCATTCCAAATCGGCCGCCCTTTACCTTTCAATGCTTGTGCAACTGTGGCAAGAGCGAGTGGCAATCCAGCGCATTCATCTGCCAACTCAGTAGCGACGGCTTCCATTTCAGGATCAGAATCATTACAATCCACAAAATCGCATGCCATCTTGTTGAAAAAATTCCTTGCTTCCTTTTTTGATAGAACATTGATCTTGATATTTTTCTGAGTACCAAAATCGTCAAAGAACAAATCGTCCTTTCTGGATGTTACAAGTATCTTACACCCCTTGTGATGACCAGAAGTTCCAATTGCTTCTAAATCTAGCTTCGCCCAGACATCATCCAAAATCACTAAGACCTTCTTCTCCATCTCTAACCTTCGGCGTAGCCGATTGGCCCTCACTCGTTCACTTTCCTCCTCAAATTTCAACCCTAACTGATCAGCAATCTCCCCTTGTATTCTCTTCACGTCTGGCGTCTGCGTCACAGTCGCCATTGCTACAGCATCGAAAAGCTTGCACTCTATGGCTAATCTTGCAACTTCTTCAGCTAGTGTGGTTTTCCCCACTCCCCCCATCCCATGTACCACTATCACGCTCGCATAAGCATCAGCAAGCGCTTCGATTATCTCCTTCTGAATCGGAACCCTAGATTCGAAGGCTTCGAACTTCTTACTGTTCTTCACCGTAAAAATCCCCGGTGGCGGCAAACGATACGCAACCCTCTCAAATCTCCCTTCTTCAATGGCTTTAACAACCTCCACAGCCAATTTCACAGCTCTTCTGCTGAACCGATGCCGCGATGGCATATTCCACCATCGCAGACTCCGGCCGTTCGCCTCATTGAAAAACCTATCAACATCTTCAGAGAACTTTTCAGCAATACTCAGCCATTCGACTACCATACCTTCGATTTCGTCCCCATTGCTTTTGGCGGAGTCGACGGAATGCTGAACGAAATCTCTAGTTTCCACCAGCTTCTTCAGTTGATCTCTGAGATTAGTCACGTTGCTTCTGAAGTGAAGCAGATAATCCAGTTGCCGGAAAACGGGATCCACCATGCAGTTGGTGATTCTTTCCCCAATTGGACCAACAATGGCGGTTGAACAAATCTCCATTTCCTTCTCCTCCGTCAAACTTGCGTCTACAGAGTAATCCCTGTGAGAATTCAATTTCAGTTCATTCTCGTCACGCTATCATTCCAATCGCGCCAAATTTGAATCTGACTATTTAAAATATCACAAGAACTAGAAGATATTTGTTCGGCCTCTTAAAATATCTTCTTCTTTTTTTCTTAATCTCTTAAAATATCTTATTAAACATTCATTTTAATCTTTAATTAATATATATATGTATATGTATATTACAAGTTGGAGTGGAATAATTCGTAGTAGTCTTTGAAATATTTATTTTAGTTATTAAACTTTTTAAAATGAGTTACACTACCTGTTTAGTTACAGGTGCGTTGATAAATCTCTAAATTGTACTAAAAAAAGATAAATCTCTAAATTAAAAAAAAATTAATAAGTCATCAAACCTTCAATATTATATATAATAAGTTTTTAAATTAAAATAATATTTAATAAATTTCTAATAAGTTTTTAAATTAAAATAATATTTAATAAATTTCTAAACTCTCGTATCTAATAAGCCTCATAATTAAAAACAATAAAAAAAAGTTTAAAATAAACCGATRTCTACTAGACACAAAATTCAAATATCAAAAATCTATACTGACATTCAAAGTCTATAGTTTATTGGAGACTTTTTAAAGTTTAGCATCATCGGTCTTGGTAATAATTAATGATAGAATAACAATAAATACCAAAAAGRTAATCATGTATATATTTTTTTAAGTTTGAAAACTAAAATTGATAATTGAAAGTCTAGGTGACAAAATAAAATTTGAAAGTCTAAGTAACAAAATAAAATTTTAACCTAAAATAAACTAAAGGTAAAATTAAAACTTAACGTACTTTTTACTTTGAGCACCCTAAGACACATTTAAATTTCTAAACTTTAAACACTATCCTGAACTTGATACTATTAAATAAATTAAAATAAAATGATGCCTCTCCTACGTCGGATCGTAACCAGGTACGATAAAATTTAACGAATTACAAATTTTGATTGGAGAACACACACCAATTATTACACTTTAGCTTTAATCTTACTTTTTTTCAGTCCCAAATTTAATTAATCGCTATTATTATTTATTTATATTTCAATTAACTCTATTAGATCATGTCTTCCATACCAATATATTTTTTTCAATCAATGTTCATGACAAGAACTAAAGTTAAAGCATGGTGGTTGACCCAAAGGGTTGACCTTTTTTTTTTTGGGTAAATGAGTTGTTTTGATCAACTCATAGTTGTCCTTCACAATTGATAACAATTGGTCAAAGTATAGTGCAAAATGGCTTAATTATCAACAAATTAAAGACAGGGACCTAAATGCAAAATTGACTTCAATGATCATGTCCAACCATAGGCCACTTGAAAACATATCACAACCCACTGCAAATTTTGGAGGATTAATTTGTGGTGGTTTCGAACSTATATTTAGTACGTGGATTTATTCATCTTAGATTATGAATTCATTAATCCTAAAAACTCATAAATTTACCTAAAACTCCCAATTTCATCACTTTGTAGTTCACTTTAAACTTTAAAAGTTGGTTGAAATTTTAACCCTATTATAGGTTTTCACTCATACATGTCAAATGAATTATGTATAACCATATATTTAGTGTGACAAACAAAAATCGACATTAGAACTTGTTTTTTCTCGGTTGAAATTTGTAAGTTTTTGCGGAATTATATTATTTAATGGTCGATTTTGTACCTATTAATCAAATTTAAATTTATGCAAAGCTTTATTTTCATAAGATTAGCGAGATTTTAGAATTTTTATTTGTTTTATTTTTTTGTCAAAATTAGTGAGTGATTTAACCGAAAGTGAGTAAAATAAAACATTTATCTAAGTTGAAGGGTTAAATTTAATAGAATCAAAAGTTTTAAGGTGAAAGTTTATACAACTGGTCAAATTTAAGGGAAACAATTCTCCCTAATTTCTTATGTTAGACATTTAATTATTCTAAGCTAATCATTATTAATCTTTCTCAATACTAATTACTAGCAAACTATTTCCTAGCTAGGCATATTTAATTTCCAAGCACCTAAATGAAAAACTAAAACATCTCATGTCTAGCTTATATTCTCTAACATTTTCCATTTGAATATCATCACAAAATACATAATTTTTTTTCCTTAGTACAACATATGGGATAGGGGTGAGGGATCGAACCCACAACTTTTTAGTTGGAGATATATGYCAATTACTACTAGCTATGCTGAACTTTGGCATCGTAAATATACATAATTAAATAGAAGTTTAAAAAWTAAAAGATAAATAATGGAAAATTTAGTTAGGCATACCTTAATTTTTGAATATAATTGTTGTCTTCTTTTCTAGCTGATAAAAGGAGCTCTCTCTCAAAGAAAAAAAATATATTAGGAGAAGGCCACAAATGAACATAAGAACTTCATTGATGAAAAGCTYTCTTTATATATGAGAGAGAATAGTGTATATGGGTGAGAAGAAAAAGTCACAAAGGAAAGTTCATGGAAACAAATTAATTCTCCTTGTGTTTCAAGACATTGAATCTAGAATACTTGGGACTTGTCAAAAAATTGAATAATTCTCCCCCTTCCTTAAAAGAGAAAAATTAGATTTTTTTTTGTTTGAGCTCGATCTACATTTGGTATAATAATAGATGCCTTATTCCACTKAACTATATTTGTAGGAACAAAAAAGAAAATTTATATTAGGATTAATTTTTATTAAATTATAGGTTGAATTAAATTGGGTCGGTACAGTTTGGGTAAAGTTTCAATTTGGTCTCCATGATTTTAGAAGTTTTAATTTAATTTTTATGATTRGGACTTAATTTCAATTTCGTCTTGGTATATTTGGGTTTAGTTTCAATTTAATCTCTGGTTTGAAAAGTTTCAATTTTATATCTATGGTTTAGTCAAACTTCACAAATTGTTCATACTGATATCTACATTGACAGTTTTTTTTTTCGAGTGGCAGTTTTCTATTTGCGTAACTGTGTGAGTTTAAGTTAGTCTGTTTTAGCGTTTAGGGATTAGTAAACAATAAAAGGAAATAGAGAGGTTTTCAAGTGGGTAAAACAAAATTTAGGACCTCGGTAGTTTTRAGATTTAATATAACCATGAGAACTAAATTAAAACTATGCCCAAACCATAAGAATCAAATTGGAACTTTTAAAATCATAGGGATCAAATTGAAACTTTGTCCAAACTATAAAAATCACCAAATGTGTAATTTAACCTAAATCATATAATAAAATATATATTAGACTAAATAAATGTTTTAATCTCTAATGTTACCTAAATCATATAATAAAATAATATTAGACTAAATAAATGTTTTAATCTGTTGGGGCATTTTTCAACCAAATCTCATACGTTTTAACATTTTTCAATTATATCATCCTTCTCATAGATGAATGTCAAAATTGGTTGATAATAAGCTTACTTGACGGGATACTTAATAAGTTAGCAATAATTTATTCGGTTATTCCCTACCAAGATCAAAAGTTTTGCCAACTTCTTAGAAATTTTGAAGAGAAATTATAAACTTTCCTCTCTCCATTTCTACTAATTCAGTAAAATCATAATGAAATCTATTATTAACCAATTTTAACCTTCACYATATTACATGTCTGTAATCCAACCCAAACTATGTAGTTTAGGTTGAGTCGATCAGATTTTTCGGGTCATCAAGCTTTTTGAACATCCATATTCACTATAAAAAATGTGTAATTAAAAAATGATGTAATATTAAATTAAAACAAATAAATAATAGGAACCAAATTGTTTTAGAAAACCCTCAAATTTAAAGACTAGAATATATATTTAGCGTTTTAAATATTATTGGAAACCCTCAAATAGAGAAGGAAAATAGACAGCTAACGATTTTGAATCTCTTTTCAAAAAAATGACTTCAAAACTTATACGAAACCAACTCCTCAATCTATTTATATTAATATCCAAAATTGCTAGGAAGTTTGATTACTCGATGAAAGCTAATATACAATTTATTCAAACACACATAATCGTTGATACTCAAAAAATATATAAATTTTGTTCAATGACATTCTATTTTTAGAATTTTTTATGCCTCTTTTTTTTCTTGTTAGTTTTTCTAAAAATAATAATAATAATAATAATATAAGACATGGTTTCTTGTTCTCTAGAAATAGGAAGAAATATATATAAATTCATATGCCTTAAATTGTTAAATATTTTTAAACTATATAATAATAAAGCATAAACCGAGAGAATATAAAGATAATAAACATTTCCAACATATTAAAAAATGTGGTGCCAACGATGTCAATAAAAGTTTCAATGTAAATAAAAATACAACGATAAGATTTATAACTTAGTGTAAAATCATACTATATTAATAGAAATAGTTCTTAAAAAGATTATCGATTTCAATAATTCTTTCAAGAATATCTCAACAATATCTTATTGATACATCCATCTAAGATTAAGACTTCAAYATTTCCATCACCATCGATATTATAATCCTTGAAAACATCATATTACCAATGACTAGTCCATTTAATCTATAATTTACACATTTTCAACCATCAAGTATATAATTAACTACATAATGAACGAGTGTAAAATTTATCTCTTCAAGCTGAAGGTTTGACAAGAAGAAGCCTACCGAATCCTTGAGAAGATGGCAGCCATCAATCCTTGCATTATAGTGTTCCTAGGGTTCTTCACATATCATGGAAGAGCCTCCTGATGTGATCAACATTTGCAGGCATTAACGTGATTGGGCAACGCTTATACTGATCCAATGCCAACATAAACAACACAAGATTACGACGGTTAGATGAATTATTTCACCCGAGTCCACAAATAGTATTTTTGAACAAGAAACTAAACTTTTCATGAAGAAATGAAAAGTAACAATAGTTCAAACATACAAGCCCCAAAAAGGGGGTACAAAGAGTTCGTCATATCATCCAACCAATCTCTCTTCACTTCCTTAAGTTCTGTTCGATAAGATTTTTCTTTTTTCTTTTTTATTAGAAACGAATATGCATTAATCACTAATCACTAATCACTAATCACTAATCAAAAGGCAAGAGCAACTAGGGGCGAAGGATTGAGGGAGCCCCCTCCCAAAAGCCTAATACAAAGACCGCTTTCCCATCTTGCATAAGCATTGCTAAGCTGTAGTTACAAAAGAATTTCCTATGATTTAGGCACCACATAGAAGTAGTGATTTGAACATGTTGGTTTCTTTCTTTCCATAAACTCCAAAGAAGGCCTCTAACCGCGCAGCTCCACAGGGTTTTTGACTTACCTTTTAAAAATACTTACCTTTTAGAAACCACCCCTGCAAGGCCTCAAACAGCAACTCCTCTACTGATCTGGGCATACAAAAGGCTAAACCAAATTCCTTTGACAGCACGTTCCAGCTCTTGGAAGCAATCGAACAGTGAATAAAAATATGGTCTTCAATYGGGACCAAGCAACGAGTGAAGTACATTGTCCCTATTCACTCTTTCCTCATCCCAAAAAATTCATATCTCTGTTCACCTAACCCTTCTCTCGCTCAATCCTTTCAATTTAATGCCACTTTCCCACCCTCATTTGTTCCTCATGTTCCATCATTCAAAGACAAGGTTGTAGTGTAGCTATGGATGTCTCGGGGGACAGTTTGAGCTTCATCCATCATTCCAACCTGCACAAGAGTAGCCTGCACTTGCATCCTTTTCTCGCCACATACCACTGTATTTTTTATTTATTATTATTTTTTTAATAACGGGGAGTCGGAGCTTTGCTCCCCTATACCCAAGGGCACATGCACCCCCCCCCCCAAGGCTCGGAGCCGAGAGACATCAAGGAGTTTTGGTATTAAGCTCATCAGAAGGTTCGAACCTGAGACCACTAAGCCGGTATGACCAAGAGACACCAAGCCCTTGCCAACTGGACTGCCCCTTGGGGGCGCCACATACCCTGCTCCCTCAAACTTTATTTTCATTGCTACTTGCCTTCGTCCACAAATTCCACCTTACAGCTACCCTCAATTGCAAACCCTCTAGTCTCTTCTCTACCGCTTCCATCCATGAAACTATTCTTTTAACGCAATGGATGAAATGCTCTAATTTTGAAAGGTAGCTAATTTTCTTGATTGAATCAAATTCAAAATATAAATAAAATGAGAATCCCTTTCTAGTGCTTTTACCCTAAACAACCAACTGCACCTCCTCTTGCTACTATTTACATTTTCAGGGCCTTTTTTCTGCCTAGAGTAAGTTAATTGAACCACAGGGGGGATCAAAATATAAGTCTGCTTGCTTTGAAAAGATTTCATATACATTAAGCCAATCAAGTAAGATTCCTATAGGAAAAAGAAAAACTATGGAAAACTTCGTTAAATAAATGTTTAGAGACAACATTAGTTAAGAGCTTACCTGTGAGATATACTTGAAGATGCAGGTATAACAAAATACAAAGCCAGATACAGTAATGACGGATGGATTAACTCGTTTCTCTGAGCACAAAGGACAGATTGTTCTGTTGGGCGGTAGTGGAATCCCTTCCTTGGCTACCTGTTAATAACAACACTTTAGACCTCGTATTTGAATGGGAAATACATATGTAACCATTTGAACATATATACCCTCGAACACAAATACAAATATATATTTGTAAAAAAACAAGGTGCCAAGCAGACGAGATAATAAAAAAACCAGCAATCTGGCATGAAAAGCATAAACACGATGTACCCAGTAAATTACCAAATACAAACTCTATTTTGCTTGCATCCTAATGTCCACCTACGACAGAAAATAGTCAGTACAACACTTACTTCCAAATGCTTAAACGAGTTTCAAATCTTTAACATACTTGATCAGTAACAAGTATTTAAATGAAAATTATTAATTTTTTTTTTAAAGTAAATAGCTGTATGAAATATGGCACATTTATTTCCAAACAAAGTTGACACTAAATATTAAATTCATAACCTAAAAGTTCGGCTAACCATTTGGACATGCACTGCTTTAACTATAGTGTCTCCCCAATAATGATGCTTCCATTCCTTAATAGCTAGTACAGCAGCCATTAGCTCCCTTTCATAAATCAGTTTTTTGTGTTGGATTTTCCTTATATTTTTTTATAATATTAGCTGTATATATATTTATCAATTTATGTTTAGTATTCTAATTTTTTTTTATTTCTCTCTCGTCCTCTCCCCTCATTTCTTCTTTCATCTCTATCTTCTTCTACATTTCTCCCCTTTTCTCTTCTCTCCTCTTTGCTCTTGTCTCCTTCTCACAAGGTTTTTCCTTTTTCTCTCACTACTCCGCCAGAAGCTCAATCTTCCTTAAAACCGACCAACCATCAATGTACTCGATCAAGMAATGTTGTAGGCCTTCCAAAACTGCTGAGCTCCAACCAACAAAGACCCATCTGTCAATTGTCGGTGTCAGTTTGAGCTTAAAACTGATGTCAACCGACCGACGTGTACTCTATTCACTTGCGGTAAGCAATTTCTACTACTAAGTTTTCTCACAAATTCCATTGGYTAAAGATATAAACTTTKCTTGGCACTTCTCCTATCCAGCACAAATTTTTTTCCATGTAACCAAGTTTCCTCAAGGAACAGTATCTGGAGATGTTTGTAGGAGTTTTGTTGCATGCGAGGGTGTTCTAGGAGAACCAAATAGAAAGGGTCCAAAAGGAGAAATCTACTCTCTCAATTACTCTCTTTGTGTAACCTTTTTTGTACATTATTTGCCTAAGATGTGTCCATCTCATACGGTGACTGGTGTTATCATCCATGAAGCATTATAACAAGGAATCTTCTCTCTTAAGCAATATTTTAAACATTGCACTTGAAGCATCTTGACTTCTAGCAAGGCAGCAACTAAGTAAAATTATCTCAATAATTATTTTTTAGTGGAATATGAGTTATTTATATATAACATATATATATACACACGCACGCACGCTTGCTTCACAAAAAAGGCCCGTGCGGCATGTGCTTAAGCTTCAAAGGTCCATTACACTTTGGTGCGCTTCGTGCCTTAAAGAACACTGGTCCACATGGACAGTAAGAAACCACCATATTTTTTAAGACAAGTAGACGCTACAGGTTGTGGTTTTGATAGCTTCTTAGACAAACTTTTCTTTTTGGCTTTATATAGATGTAATCTCATTTGCATAGTTATAATCTTTCTTCCCACATTTCCTAATGGAAAGGTGTTTTGTAATTTTCCTTGGATAGGAGTCCTCCCCACCTTTCGTAATTTCATACCATCAATAAAATATCTCTTATAAAAAAAAAAGAGAAAAAAAAAGGATGCTACAGGTTGTGGTTTTGCATTGTCTCAAGTCCAAAGTTCAGAAGAGAAATCCTTATTCAGTCCTTGGCTCGAATTGGTGTTGCATATGTACTAGGCAGGAACGGAAAATATTCAAATCATCTTTTTATTTTCTGCTTGGTGACTTCCCTGTGGGACAAATTTTTGGAGGCATTTGGAAGCCAGTTTCCTTTTCCAAAAAGTGTTATAAATTTCATCTTTCTAGGGTTGTTGGTCATAGTTGGAAGGATTGCAAGAAGCAGATATGGATGAATGGCTTAATTGCGATCTTGTGGGAAGTGTGGATTAAAAGAAACAAAAGATTTTTTCATGAATGGGATCTTATTTGCAAATATTTGGCCTTTGGGTAGGATTAACGTCTTATTCAAAAATATATATATATATATATATTTTATTGAATTATTTATTATTATTATTATTATTATTTGATAGGAAACAAGAGATATGTATTAATCACAAAAAAGAATGAAGTCAGGGCAACACGTAGAGGAAACCCCTCCCCAAGGAAACTATATCATGAAGGCCTTCCAAATTTGAAGGATTGAGCAAAGGGAGTAGTTACTAATGATACAAAAGTATTTTATTGAAATTTTTTTAATAATTATTGTTAATTTGGAATAACTTTTTATTGTGACGGAACAAATATACCCATGCTCCTGCATSTTACAGAGTATGTGAGTTGGATTGTATAATTTTTAGGTAATAGTACTTCAAAAACCAGAAAAAGTTCAAAACCCTCTGATATAGAGTTCAATGAAGCAAAAATTATTTCACCTTTGGAGGAGGAGGTGGTGGAGGTGGGGGATATACAGTTGGTGCAGACATTCGTTCCTCAGCAGATTGGTACCACCACTCCATCATCTATCAAGAGTAAAAGTCGTCATGCAATGAAAAAATGATCAAATATGMAATTCATCTCATCAACGCATGCTAAAATAATATATTCACGCGTTAAATCCTACATTTATAGGAATTTGACCAGTGTTGAACTTTATTCATTTTCAAAACACAACTTCTCAAATAAAAATGAAAAGATCCAAGATCTCTTTTGTACCACTAATTAGAGTGAACGCCTGTGAGTGGGCGAACAAAAAATAATTCTGAATTTCGGGATTAATAAAAGCAAGCTATTGATTAAAATTATATATTTTTCGTACAAGAAAAAATTTTTATTGAATAGAAACTATAACTAATTTTGTTACCCTAAAATTATAACAAATTGTAGAAGTAAATAAGAAATCTTCAAACTGATCTGAGACACAATTCTAATATAATAGAATGGTTGATTTAAAAAATGTCTAGAATTTGATGCCTAGAGTAGCTGAAGTTTTTTACCATTCTGATCCCTTTCCTTTGTAAAACTTGCTTGATACAAATATTTTCCATGAAAAATTTTGTATGCATAAAGCAGAGATTGTTAAAATCCCTATCATCATATTACAACTGGTACAATATACTTAAAATTCTTCTACTTCCTTTGCTAAGCACAAAAAACATGGATGACAAGACAACAGTTAGAACAAAATTGAAATAATAGGTTTAAATTATTATGCTCAAACAGATACTTAAAGGTATCRTATGTAGTATCGGATAAGTAAAGCACTCACTTTGAAGAAAAATACTGCTGCAATTAGTCCAGTCTGTGCATAATCAAGCATCGTGTACAAACAAGTGAGGATCCCTCCTTGTATTGCCTGTTTTGCATCATGTAATGTAGTTGGCATAAATAAAATGCCCTTTAAGCATACATATTGAACAAGAGAAAAGRTGAAATYGATGCTACAAGTTGAAGAGGACCACTGTTAAACTAGCATCCACAAAATTCATAGATAGACACATGCAGTTGAAAATCTGATGTAGTAACAAGTTCAATTTGTCAAGATTTTAGGGTTTGGCTCATCAAAGCTTTATTCTCTTGTACTCCTGCCTTTTTACACATCTTTGGTTGTTCTTTTCATTTTATTAGCTTTACGTTGCTTTCTTTCGTTAATTCAAGTTCATATCTTGTTAAAAAGAAAAACAAGTTGCCAAGCAGCCAACAAAACAAAGTAACATGGTCATCAAATCAACCCCCAAAATTAGTCAACCAGTCTCTTTACTCAAGAATTGGCGGATATTGCCAAAATTTAAAATTCATGATATGAAACATATTATAACTATTTCGGATTCAACAATTAAAAAAAAGGAAAAAAAAAAGAAGTCTTTTTTCTTAAGTTAAATAAATGAAATGAATTGTATTTTCCATTGTAATTGATTCCTTTTTCCTAAGCAATATACTCCACTTTCATCTTGAATCCTATCAAGTGATTGTCTGTAAGCTCCCAAGGGTTGGGTGATATCACCCAACTCTTGTAACACATTTCACACTGTCATTGAAAAGTTGTTTTCTTCCAAAAATAATAATAATGATGATGAGAAGGTGAAAAGGTAAAAAAGTAAAAAAGTGCACCAAAAATTATCTAAGTTGTACCTTCAACCAAGGAGGACCACGTAGTCTCTCACGCTCATGGCTTCGTATCTTTGAAATTCTAGACGATGTGTCCATCTACCTTGTGTCACAAAAAGGGTAAAGAAAACAATGAATACATAAAATAATGGGATAGAGAACTTTGAATGTTATCTATCTTGTAGCACTAATGAGCGGAAAAAGATGCCAATGTGTGATACATTTAATCTAATAACAGAACAAATATTTGAAATGCAACAACTATTATGTTGAAACTTGTCATAAATTATATAAATTGAATTTCAGTAGTTGTCAACATAAAATATATAACAGACTAATCAAATACATGTCATTTTCATTCAGAGGCTATACAAAGACTGCAAAATCAAATAAATGAATTGTCAAGCATCCATGATTAAATTATGTGTAGAACATCTCGAGAGAAGGGTATTCAAGACTAGCATGAAATAAAGAAGGTTATTATATTTCTACTAAAAAGAGTTACTACCTTAAAAATTTTCAAGAACAGTAAATAGTTACAGAATTACCAGCTCTTGTCCTGTAGACCGACAGACATGAACTCCAATGACCTGCAGTCCAATTGTATAGAATCCAGTAGCATCCAACAAATATAACAGCTGATAAGCAAATGATAGGCCTGCATTATCATAAAGGTGGTCTTTAAACAATGATGTTAAGGAGAGTTTATAACAATGAGTAAGAAATATAGACAACCGTAACAATATTTTATTCCAAATAAAACTTCAAGAAGTACCATTACAAATAAATACAAAGAACTTACTTTCTCTTACATGAAACAAAGTACTTTCATTAAAGTCTAAAGATATGATATTATTCAAGGGGTTGGATAATAAATGAACCATAAGAAACAATCTAGAAGGACATGCAAATCTTAAAGCCCTTTCGTAATTTACATGTAACCTTTAATCACTGTGAATCAGAAGAAAATAGCAACATTTCAAAAATATATTGTAGTGGAAATCCAAAGAGAATCTGTCATATTGGCTCTTTTCTTGATAGCTAAGAATCATGGGCATGGACACACCACACAGATTCTTTTTTTTTTTTTAATAAGAAACGGAACAATATATTCAAAAAACTCTTTGAGAAAAGGAGAAGACAACCTAAAAGGCTGAGGGTAGAGATCAACCTCCCAGCTTTCCAATCATTTGCTATATGTAAACTGTAATTATAAAAGAATTTTTTTGTGGTTTGTGGCCCACCAAGAAGCACACAAATAAAGATAAATGATTGCATGGAATTCTCAAAACATAAATATATAGACAAAAACAGGTGAAGACACTCAGATTTTTTTTTAACAACAAAAAGGAGTCCTAGAATAAATAGACATAATGAAATATACATTTCAAAAACAAATTGTGGTGAAAATCCAAAAGAGCATCRGTCATATTGGCTCTTTTCTTTTCTTTATTTCTTTTTTAGAAGAAACAATTTTATTGATAATATGAAATTATTAATACGAAATAAGGGGAAAACCCTATCCATGGAAGTTACAAAAAAACCTCTCCAATTGGATATCAATGTTGAAAATCTGTAGTGATGAAAGAGAGGGGAGCATTTACACCAAGTAATGACCAAGAAAACTATRGAATGAAAAAAACGGTCAAAATGAAGCTCCTTGTCTTGGAAAATTCTGTGATTCCTTTCCATTCATGTGGACCACATTAAAGCCCGTACAAAATGCATCTGAAGGAACTTTTTTCCTTTGCAAAGGGGTTACCCGCAAGAGTGTATGCCAAGAGAGAGAAGGAGACTTAAAAGCCCAAGTAGACAAGAAGAAAATCATATATCTCTAGTCTTCTCCTCATGTTTAGAAACTCTTTTATTCCTCTCAGACCAGACTATCCAAAAAAAACTGTTGTACAAGGGTTAAAACAAAGTGTTTACTTCTGGTAATGGAAATTCTGACCTTTGAAGATTTGAAACACAAAAGCCTTGGCTGACCTACACTGAACCCAACTCATAACAAATGCTTCCAGAAGCCTGAACCAAAGGGGCAGAGCAAAGCGAACAAAGAAGAATAAGGGCTAGCCCCTGGGTTTGTCTTAGATTAAAAAGATTGTATAGAGGAAAAAAAAATACTTGGGCATCTTGAGCTACCAAAGGGCTTTGAAAACTGGGGGAAGGGATGGCAAAAATTAAAAGGGCAGCAAACGAGGATTTAACAGAGAATAGTCAATTCTTGTCAAGGTTCCACACCTTTTGATCTTCCACCCTATAGATGGTTAAGAAAATAGAAAAAATAATAATAATTCCATACCTTTTGTTTTTCCAAACTGAACCCATCAACTATTTATTAGACTTAAACTTCACAAATGACCTATGATAATCCAAGCTCTAACGTGGTTCACAAATTTCCAAAATTTATTAGTTCAAAATAAGAATACGCCACAAAAACTTGAGGATGCAATGTATTTATACCTTCACTACTTGCATGGAGCCATGGGTAACAAGCACCAACAATTTTCTGAAATTTATTTATGACTCGTGCTCTTACTGATGCTTCAACTCTCAAAGCTCTGGTCGGCACAACGAGGTCCCCTCTCACATCATAAATTTCAGCATTATCAAACCTTTCATTATCATCACCCCATAAACTCGCTTGAAGCCTGGCTTCCCTTTCCTTATTGTAAATTGAATGCAACTTTGACTTGAAATAAGGCAATACAACCTGAAAATTAGATATTCATTGTATTAATAATTTTAAGCACGCAGTGTGTTGCAAGAAAGTCATAAAAATTTGATTAGGAAAAACCAGAAAAGAAAACTGATACAATGTTTTTTTTAATAAGAAACTGAATTTTCATAAGGAGAAATGAAAATATATATATATATACACCAGGGCATACAAAAAAACAGCTCCAGCGCAGAAAACTGATACAATGTAAACATCAGATATCTAACACATTGATCATTTAAGATATGGAGTATGCTGGAAGAAATCCATAAAACAATTCATTAGGGAAAAGCTAAATAAGACAGCCTTCTAAAAGAAACAAAACTTCTTTCCTTTTTTTAATGATAAAATACGAATGTTCATTAAGATAAATGAAAGGACAAAAGGCAAGGGATACAAAAAATGAAGCATAGAAATCGAGTGCATTTCTTAGGTCCCAATTCAATTTGTAATCAAATCAACATTACAAGGGATTAGGTTGCAACAGGAGAAAGAAATCAGGGACTACCTTATTGCTAATGCATATATCAGGGCAAGGAAAAATTAGAGAAGAAGAGCAATAAGAATTTTCTTGGGTTCAGTTCAAATCAGAATTCATCAAGTGAAAAAAATCGAAAAGGAAAACCAATGAAGGAGGAAGAGGGAAGAAAGCAGAAGACTGCACAAGACGTAAAATCATAGAAGATAAGGAATCTTTTGGGTCTGATGAAGAGAAAGACTACAAAATCATTTATCATTTTAAACTCTGTCCATGAAAACTTAATTATACTCAAAACCCCATCTGAAATTATATGGGGCAATATGTTACACAAAAATAACTATTTGTATCTCCTCTTTCCAAAAACTAAAAAGAATTCGGATCTCATACCAAATACCACCTTAGCATCTAAATGCCCTCGACTAGTGAGGGAAGTTCACACAAAAGGCTGAGCTAAACAGGTAGTGATTAACGCACTCATATACCAACTAGGTTAGATAAATGGATGGATGGTGGATRGATAAAGAGAGTGAGAGAGGGAGAAACAAGGTACAAAACATTAAATTTTCCAAGGAGATAATCAAAGTGAATTAAAACGCATCAATGTCAAAAGCACAAAAGTTTTATAGAATGTAACGATAGCTGCCTCCTCATTATCTTTTCTCAATGAACAAGAATCAGATCATACCAAGAAAACAACAGAAAGAACTTTTTGATGCTTTTCTAATCCTCTATGTTGAATGCCATCACCAGGGACAGACCGAGCATCTTCCTTTACTTTTATATTTACGGCTCTTCTTCTTAAACCATACAAGGATTCTGAAAATGAAGCATCTGAAGAATATGTAGAAAATGAATAACAATTAGGTACAAATAGACRAGAACAGAAATGTACAATTTTAAAACATGTGCTTTATGAGAACGACATCATTCACCTGTTGTTCGTAAGCTATGCGTTTCAAGAACCAGCATTAGCAAAGCAAAGAATTCATCTTCGTAGTCTAACACCCTATGAAAGAATGGTCTTCTTAGAGCTAAAACCTGAAAATTTTTCACCAAATTAGAAGAATTCAAGCATTAGGATTTCACAATAAATAAATAAATATATATATATATATATACACACACACACACAAATATATATATATATAGACATATATTACAATAAGGAAACGACGTACAACCGTATGAAAGAACGCGTAATGTGCACAGTCATGTATGCGATAGGAGACCAATCAATAAGGCAATGATTAGACAACCTGCACCAGCCATTACATTTCTGTAGCTATGGGGTATGTTCTTTTCACGCTAATTAAAAATATTTTTCGTAACTTAACTCATGATGAGGCTCTCCTCCTCTCATTTTTACATTTCCATGCTCGCAACGCAATAGTATCTTATCTGAAGAAGTAGATGATGAATGACCAGTTGTAAATAGTTGGAAAAACAACATATCGTCAATCAAAAAACACTCTCGACATAAGCCAAACGTCTTCTGCCAAAAACCTGGAGCACATAAGTTTTCAAGAAATTACCAACCCTATAGCCTATACAAAATTAGGAGGAGGAAAAACGGCAGCAAAACCATACAAGAGCATGAAAAGGGGGAATTAAAAAAACCCATTCTCAATATAATAGAAACCCATAATTTATGAACATAATTGAACTGAACAACAACACAAAAGCGCGGATAACACATAACTATCAAGATAAAGTATAAATTCGCCAGGAATCAAGCACGAAGACAAAATTTTCCAGGGTTGGAGTCCACGGGGAGACTGCATAAAATCAAAACTATTGAAGACATGGTTTAAAGAGAGAGAAAAGCATACGCCGACGGAGTAGRTGAGAGCAGCACGAAGGCTGGCGGGGAGCTGCTGAGCGGCGGCCATCTCGAAGAAGGTGGGACGAGTCCCTTGCCCTCCCACCTGAAACAACATCCTTCTCTAATTTCTGTCGATCGAATTCGAAGCTCAGTTGGAAATGGAGACGCAGTGCTGCTCTGCTATTCTTCCCACCAAAAACTAGAGCTCGCCGTACCGAAAATGGCACTGTTCGCTCGCATTTGCACGCACCATTAAACCCAAAATCAAAATTTCATAAATCACAAATTTAATCACAATTCTTTATACTTTTTCTCGAAAATCACAATTCTTTATACTATATATCTTACTCTCATCTGAAGTGTAATATTAAAGAAAAAAAATGTTTGATGTTTGAAGTGAAATGATGTCACAGGGGCAAGAGTATACTTCATCAATAATCGAAATATACCTCAAATCAAGAGTTCGTGAGTTTGATCCTCCAATTCCACATGTTGTATTTGAAAAAGAAATAGATGGCATGTCCATGTCCAAATCATAGGAAACTACTACCGCTTCTAGTGTTCTTTTAGTACAACAGATGGAGTGGAAATTTGAACACACAGCATTTGTTCTAATGTGGCTAAACCAAAGAGTTTACAATAGATATATTGACACGGATCCTATTTCTTAATATTTCACACATAAAAATCTCATGTACACATAAAAATTTGTATATAATATATTGTATTAAATTATATTTGTTGCAAGCAGTTTGAATTTATATTTAGTAACAGAGAGTTATTAGAAAAACACTGATTTAAACATTTAGTGAATTTTAGTAATCATTTCTATCCCACGCCAAATAAAATTTCTATACTTTAATATAAAAAAAAGGGAAAAGAATTATACAATATACTATATATAAATTTATACGCATGCAAGAAATTTTTAAGGGGTGAAATAATAAGAAATGCGCCTCCAGCCAACTATGCTCAAGCTGACCAACACAAAGAAATACATTTGGGCTCTTAAAAGAAATCGTTGGGCCAGTTTCCGTTCATTCTCACAATATCCATAAAGAGAAATGGCCCATTAAAGGCCCATTTATATCTTAACCCAATACTGTTCAAAGAGGGGTAATTCTGACTTTTCCACTCTCCCATTACCCCCTCCAAAATACATCACTGTACTTGGCATCCGTTCAATCTCTCCTTCGACCGCCCTATTTCCTCTTATTCAGCTCAGCAACAAAACACAGATTTTCAGAGATTTCTCCTCCAATACCTGCTGATTCTCCCTTGAAATACTTCAAGATTTTCCCATAATTTCCGTGGCCAACGCCGCCTTGCTTCTCATTTCTGCCTTCGCCGGAGAACTGTCGGAAAAGCTGCTTCCCGTCTTGCCTACACTGCTCTCCCGCCGTGGCTCTGCCGGAAACAGGTTCCTCTTCCTTTCTCTACGGTTTTTGTTTTTCTTGCTTGATTTTCCGTTGAGCCTCTGCTGATCTCTTTGATTTTCGTTTTATCGTTCTTCATCCTCACAGTCGCGTGCGCAGTTTGTTTGCTAATCGATTTGTGTGAAGACTGAGTCCGAGCATGACTGCGGAGGTGATTACTCAGCCGAATGGTGTTGTCACGAATGGCGACTTGGACCTCAATTCTAACCCTAAATCTGGCGCCGCCAAGAAGTCGCGGGAAAGTGAACGGCGTCGCCGTCGGCGAAAGCAGAAGAAGAACCAGAAGGCTTCTAAAGTGAATGAGGCTACTGCTGGTGATGATAGTGATGCTTCTGGTGACGATATGAAGGAGAACGATGATCCACACCAGGTTTTGTTAATTTTTTATGTTACGTTGAAGAAATGTTTATCAGTTTGTGGTTTAGGGTTTTTTTCTCTCTTAGTATTAGTATTTCGCTATTGTTGGCAAACGATAGTTTATGGAATGAAGATTGAGCTAGATAGTTAAAATTTGCAGTTGTTATGTTGAAAGGAGCTTGATATCTAAGACGTCTATTATTGTACAGCCATTAGAAGGGGATTAAGTTTGGGTTTAGATGATGCTCTACGTGAGTTATAAATCGAGTGCGTAACAAAGGAATGGTTCCCAAGCCCTAACCCTACCGAATATAGCTAGGTTTTGTTATGACGGTCTTTGGAAAATTATAGAGAATTCATGGATAAACTAATTTTTAAGAAATTGCATCTTATCTTTCTTGGTTCATAGTCCGACATGACGTGTCATGATACGCCTCGTGATATGTTAGTATCTGTTCCAAAATGCATTAATTTTTTCTGTTAATCCTTTCATTGAGCTAGCCTGCCGGTTGAGAACCCAGCGTTGATCATTTTCTTTGATATATCTACCCAGAATTTGTTTAATAAGGATAATAGACTTAGAATTTTGATTGTTGGACAGCAAGAACATCCATTGGTCAATTCCCTCGTCTTTTTTTGTTTCTCTTCATATAGTTAGTTGTTTTACAATATTCATTTATTTTGTTTTTTGATATTATAGGTTGTTGAGAATGTAGAAATTGAATATGTACCAGAGAAGGCTGAATTAGATGATGTCTTGGATGAAGAATTTAGAAAAGTTTTTGAAAAATTCAATTTCAGTGAAGTAGCTGGTACTGAGGTAAGTATTTACTTCCAGACTAATTTTGATTATCAATTCTGTTTATTCTCTTGTTGTGCAATCTTCTTACCCTTTTTATTTCTGTTGCTATATAGGAGAATGAAAACAAAGACGACTCTGCCCTAAATGCAGCCTCTAAGAAGTCTGACTCGGATTCTGAAGATGAAGAGCTCGATAACCAGCAAAAAGAAAAGGGCCTGTCAAACAAGAAAAAGAAGGTTAAGGGCCTTGCTATTATCTTACCCTTTATACATAAGGAATAGCATTGGTTATTTCTCATCACAATGATTAGAAAATAATTGGTTTTGTCATCTTTCAGTTGCAACGGCGTATGAAAATTGCAGAGCTGAAGCAGATTTGTTCGAGACCAGATGTTGTTGAGGTAGAAATGCAGCACTTTATACTGTATTGTACATATCTTTTACCTTAAAGTTAATCACAAAAGCCCTCAGACCAAAGCGTACCTTTTTTTTTTGAGTGGGTGTTGTGATATTCTTCTGGACTTATTTATTTACTGTTCAGATCTGGGACGCAACTGCAGCAGATCCTAAGTTACTTGTGTATCTAAAGTCTTATCGCAATACGGTTCCTGTGCCAAGGCATTGGTGTCAGAAAAGGAAATTTTTGCAGGTTTGTAATTCTGCTAATATTAAATTTACAAGTATAAACAAAAAAAAATTACAAGTGTATATATATCTATGCACAATTGGTGGTATGTTCAACATGAAGGAATGAGAGAGTTGAGTGAGGGAAGATCATGTTGATAAGGTTTCTCTTATATGTACATATCTGGTTCTTGCAGGGGTGTGGCTGTGACACTGTTGAAGCCGGGACTTGTAGGTGTTTGCTAAGAGCACCCTTGGATTATTTATGTTTTAGTATATTTGGTGGTGTGGGTTGGGATGTGAACATTTTTATGTTGCTTTGATGGGTGGATTTAATTGTGTATTGCATGATTTGTTTTCCCTAAATTTATCGTCATCAATATGCTAATCAATTTGCCTTGAAGATGTAGATGCCTTTCCGTTAATAGTGACCTGAATTCTATGATTCTAGTGATGAAATAATCTCTTAGTTTGGATTGTATTTTATTAGTAGTTGGATTTATTTTGTAGGGGAAGCGTGGTATTGAAAAGCAACCTTTCCAACTTCCTGATTTTATTGCTGCAACAGGAATTGAGAAGATTAGACAGGTAGCTTCCATGTACAACTTTCGATAGTTGTCTTTTCTTATCTTCTATCCTTAAATTAATCATTTTCTGATATGATAATATTACTGTTATAATGTAATAATGTTGTTTAGAAAGCTAGTTCATATTATTCTGGCAAAATCATGTAATAATGTAGGTAGTCTAAATATATTTCAATCCTCATTGTATGCACAATGTGACATCTGAAGTTGGTTATTCTTTATTATATTTGTTACGCAGGCCTACATAGAAAAAGAGGATAGTAAGAAGTTGAAGCAAAAGCAACGAGAACGTATGCAGCCAAAGATGGGAAAGATGGATATTGATTATCAGGTTTTACTGCTTTTAAATTTGATATGTATTTGACTGGTGGTATCTAGTTCTATGTATACTGCTGATGTCTTTGTTATTGTGTTCATAATGTGAACAGTCCAACTAATTCAATTGGCTACTGTGCACTAGGTTCTCCATGATGCTTTTTTTAAGTACCAGACAAAGCCAAAACTGACAACACTTGGAGATTTGTACTATGAAGGGAAAGAATTCGAGGTATTGGTTTGTTATTATTACTCATCTGCAATGCTCTTTGGTCTTTAGGATCCATTGCACGTGGTTATTTTTTCATGATTTCGGACATTGTGCATTTTAAATTTATAAGTAAGGAGCTTTGTAGAAGTCATTATTTGTACATGGTGACTGCTGCTTGTTCGGATACTGGGTAGCTGATCCATGGGGAATTTTTTCTTTTTTTTTTTTCCTCCTTGGCATACAGGTTAAGTTAAGGGAGATGAAACCAGGCATGCTGTCACAAGAACTGAAAGAAGCACTTGGTATGCCAGAGGGTGCTCCTCCCCCATGGCTCATTAACATGCAGGTTAGATAAGCAAACTTGTTGTCAAACTCAATTCTGGCCTAATGTTTTAAGCTGTTTTTATTTGTTATCTTACAACTTATATAATTTTTCTTTTCTTATAGAGATATGGCCCTCCACCATCCTACCCCGATCTAAAGATTCCAGGACTCAATGCCCCCATTCCACTTGGAGCTAGCTTCGGTTACCATCCTGGTGGTTGGGGCAAGCCTCCTGTAGATGAAGTAAGCTTTTGACTTTTTGTTTTTTATCTTCAGGTTTAGGTCTGCTGCAAAATCTTACTGTTTTACTTTTTTTTTCCATGGATAGTATGGCCGTCCACTGTATGGTGATGTTTTTGGCGTTCAGCAGCAAGATCAAGCTAACTATGAGGTGCCTTATTTATTTTTTTTAAGTAAAGACCTTTTTTTTATAGATTTAGTGAAGGATGGATACATCAAAACTAAAAAATGCTCAACTTAAATAACTTTCTCAAACTAGAGCTCGTTGGTGGAGAAGAGGTACAATTACAAAAGTAGATGGTGAACACCAATTTGAAGATATAAAATTTGCCTAATCCAATGCTTGTTCCTAATGTCTATGTATGTACTTG